TAGATTCTGTGTTTATACGTGCAAGTATAAATGAAACTATTTATTTTTGATAAACAAAACAAAAAAACAATTTAGTTACTACTTTTTAAAATTTATTTATCTTATTTTTGTGTATTTCTATACCCCTTTCTTCTTGATAAGTGGATGATATGTTTGATAGTTCAAGTAATTGATTTTAATAAAAAACTAAAATCATGTGACAGATATTTTCCTTATATATGTCATAATGTAGTACATGTATATCACAATTCTACCTAAAAGTATGTTTTGTCTTTTATACATCCATGCAGACCTTAAAACAAATTACTTGATCTTTGACACTTTTCAATGTTTTGGGTCAATATATATGATTTAAAAAAATGTTTCGAGTTTAAGATACGTATACATTATTTTAATACAACACCACATCTATGTTTGTGCACCTGTTCAAGTTTTCTTTTAGATACCCTCTGTTCCCTAGCTTTTTCTGTTGGTGTCGATCGTTTCTCTTTATAATGAAATATTGTTGGCCGATAATTGACGTCCTCGTAATCATAACTGTGCCACCCTCCCTCGAAATGTGTGGAGCAAATGTAGCTAGCATTCGTCGGAGTCCACTTGTCACGGTTTACAGCCTTTATCCATGCTAAACGGTTTTTCTTGTCTACGGGAAAACGAAAAAAACTTATTCCCTGCTCCTTGCCACAAGCATCAGCTCTGTTAAAACACTTGAAAACAACACAAGATCGTACCATTTCTTGCGTCTGTGGTTACCAAGAACTTACTCGCGGAAGTGGTTATGCGCATGTCGAGATAGTAGGACCGCAGTTAATGTGAAAGGGACTATTATAACCATTACTATTATCCAAATGTTGTAAAGCGCTTGAGAGTAATTTTACTAAGTATATAGGACGCTATATAAATGTTGTATATTATTTATTATTATAATATTAAAAATTATTAGAGCGGAAAACATGTTTTTATGAAATATAGTGATATCTCAGTCATGTTTCCAATTCTATTTTCATAAAAGATACTATAAGAAATGAACTGCAAATTTAGATTTATGCAAAAATAAATAAGGACTAACTGCCATTTAATTTTGGTAGACAAACACATTGCACATGTACATAGAGGTTTTCTTTTTATACAAACAATTAACGAATCAAATTTGTCGCAATATTTCAAGACCTACTGATAACGTGTTTGTTCTGTAGTGACATACGAAATTATAATTTCATCACATCTGTTCGTTTATGCGGAACAACGGTTTGACGGTTTATAAATGTAACAATTTCGGGTATTAATCCTGGCGGACCTGCAAATGTGTATTCAGGCCTTGCAAGGCTTTGTCAAGGCTCGCTAGAAAGCAGCATCAGATTACTAGGTCCGACCTTATTTAATAAACAAACAACAGTGGTCCGACTTTAAACGAAAACGGGCTTAGTCATCGTCTGATAATGAAACCAGTCGGTCTTTAAACTTTGGTACACGTCTGATAATCACATGTTATTGCTTACATGCACATTTCTAAACTGATGAATCTTATTGAAGAAACATATTGGGTAGTTTACCAACATTTTGTACTGAAACATGAATGCTGTGCCACTACAAAGGCATAGTGATCTGTATATATTGTTTACCTTCTTAGTTTCATGTGATATAAATATATGGGGTCGGACAAGTTATCACCCTTGTAAAAAAACACATTGTACATATCAGCTTTTAAGCCTATGACGTCTTTTCATTTCTTATGCATTTTCATTATTTTTTAACGTATTAAGAAACATTGAACTTGCACTAGTATATTGATCAGGTTGTCTGTGTACTAGTTCTCATACACCGATACTCGATATGTTTACAATATATCTAAACATATATAACCATACCTCTCCCAGATACGTTTATGTCTGACATTTTGTAGTCAAATTGTATCAGTAAACTAATATCGTTCCCAATTCCAACAAAGTAGATGTGAAGGTGAATTAATAACGAAATATCTAAAAATAACCCCTCTGTTTATCATTATTCTCTCTGCTATCTGAAACCACCAAAAACTTCCTTCATTGTAAATATTATCTTTTACTTAATCTAGCATGTTAAAATTCATTATTCTACGACAGAAATATGCCTCTCAAAAAAATGTGTTTCTTACACAAAGTCATTCCTACCACATACAGATACTTACATGTCTTTTTAACAAACATGTTTATTATAAAATTACAATTGAGGTTAGATAATGCTAATAATAGGATTCTTATGTAGTTAACTTAATTCTGCAATCGGGGGAGGTTTGTTCGTCAACAATATCGGGTTTTTAAATATGTTTGTTGACTATAATATTGTAATAGGGGGAGGTCCGGAGAGGGTTTGCATTCGTTGTCACTCCGTTGAATCCGTTTCGTGATCGTACAGTTTTTAGTAATGGTAACGAGTCGACAACTTCCCCTGCAGTCCTCTCTAGACCTCGCCTTTTTCGTCAGGTTACAGACCTGTTTTCATTACAGGTTCGAACACTGGATGTATTGGCAATACAAGCAATTCATTCAATAACTCAACAAGGTGTTTCAAAATACAAGTAACTGTTTATTAACAACACGGAATGAATAAGTACAACAAGTTTAACAAATGCAATGCATAGCATTAGGGCCAAACAATGACAGCTATTGTTAAGAAACCCAATCACTTACGTATGTAGAGTAATGGCCTATCCTACCTAACAGTACTACCAGTAGACTGCGACCACGTGCTCCTAGCTCCCTATAGATCTTACAGCGAACCACTATGTAACGATGCCTAAGCCCCTGACTATCCCTTAATACATGTACTGTAGTTCCTATAGCACTCTATATGTCCTAGGAACGATGGTACTGTTAGCAGCACCTCGGCCCATGTTATGCACTGTTAACAGCGCATGAGGCGATAGGGTTCTCCTCACCAGGATACATTGTAAGTGGGTCGGTTCACCGACCCTGTCAAGACACTGATCCCCGCCCGGACCCGCTGTGTAATACCCGGCAATACACTAACTATATGACCTTTTCACTGTAGCTACATGTAACCTTCCATGAAGTCTATATGTTAGTGAACGCATATTATATATCATTTCCCCACATCTTTTTACATCTTATAACTAAAAGACCCAACAATATGTATCCAATCGTCATAATTCGACATAATTTGATTACTGGTGTTTGAATAAATAAATGTTCATTTTATTACTTGTAAACGATGTAATTTTTTAATGTACTGCAAAATATAGTCTTTCATTTTTATGCCGCTCAATAACGTATCCCTCTCTCAGTACTCAATGATCCACACTGCAACTCATGAAACACACAATAGGTTTGAATGTGTACATATAACTTCACTTGCAGAATTAGATATAACAGTGAAGTGACATTTAGAAATACGTTTTAAAGTAAGTAAGTACATAAGAAATAAGCAACAGTAACATATTTTCTATAGTTTGGATGTAGTAATATTTGTTTACCCCTTACGAATTGTAGAATCAATGTTCAATTCACATACAGGTTAAACTGACAACACAGCTATATAAAGAAAAGACTTCGTCAAGCCCCAGTTACCGCGATGTGTACCCGTTGTGTTCTGAAATTGTATACGTGTGTCGCACCGACAATTCACGACATTTGTCGGACTTTGCCGACATTGAGCGAAGTCGGATTTCTCGAATAAATCCAGTTGATATAATGGTACTTCGACAACTCCCTTTGTTATGATGAACATATTTTGATGCAGACAAGTGTATTCACTGGTTTGCAGTGTGTATCCAACACAATCATCATAATCAAGGTTCCACCCTCAACGTGCCCTCAATTAAATACTTCCATCGTGCGTTCTAATAGTCGTGTTCTGTTTGGAGAGGTAGTACATTTTCAGGACAGGTAAGTAGCAATATACAGGTAAGTAGCAATATACAAATCTCGGGTCAAAAACTACCTTAGATATGACATGGAATGTTTACAATATGCCTTTTCAAACATAGAGGTTTCTTTGTAGGTAATGTCTATTTTAGCTTTTAAAATATTCAGAAAACGATTCTGCTCTCCTTTATATAAGTAAAATAGATTGAAATCATATATCTTAGCGTCAACAAACAAAGGACAAAATAATAACGTGATATTGGTACATAACAAAAACAGAACTTTACACAAAAGACGTCATTCACCAATATATACTGGAGAAGACACCGCGGTCCAGAATTGAAAACGATTTCATGTATCAAACGATAACATTTATCCAATACTAATTGTGTCAGGCTATCTCAAAACATCTCGGAACGAAACCGTTTTTGCGATAGCCTGACACAATGAGTATTGAATAAATGTTGACACGTGATCTCGTTTGATACATGAAATCGTTTTCAATTCTGGACCACGGTGTCTTCTCCAGTATATATTGGAGGATGTAGAAAACAAAAGGAAGTTGTTTAAAGTACCAGGCAGACATCTCTCCATGATCTTTTCCCCGTAGGACTTGCAGCCCATGATTTGGACTATCACATTGATGGTCAATGGGATTTGGTTGTTAAGATTGGATTGTCAGTGTAAATGTCCCAAGTGTTCGACCCTTCCGTTTGTTTTTGTTTTTGTTTGCTGATTTTTTGATAAAATAATTATGTAACATGGATGCATCTCACCATTTGATTTATAAGGAATATTTTTGTAGAGAAGAATGAAAGCATTTTCCCCCATGAAAACGACAACTGCAATGATATAAACGTATTTCACCTTGATTGTGCATTTTACCGTAATCGAGATTATTATTCTCGTCGCTTTGGAGCTTCCGTATATTGAGTTATATTTTTGTAAACAGCTCACGTTGGGATCGATATTGTTGCACCTGTGTACGATCAGTTTATAGGATGCAGCCAGTATATTACACTGGTAGCGGAAATGGTCAACGAAACACTTACAATTCACCGGTCCATTTTCAAGTCGCATACCCAAACACTTTACAGAATGCGTCGTCACAGATTCAGACTCAAAATCAAGGTAGGTTTACTTCATATCCGCTGGACCCAAATGCTCTTACATTCGACAAGACAGTGTACAGTGTACGACGTAATACATCTTTTTGATATTATCCATGATATCTGTTTGAAATAAAAGTTTGGGATAAAAACCATGGAAATGATAAGGACAACAATGATATAGAAATATTTTGTCATGTTTCAGAAGTATATCGTCAACACCGAAGTAATATTTCGGGAAAGAGTCGGGCCTTTGGCGTGATATACTGCTTCCTAGGTGTCCTATTGGTGGTTATTGGAGCGATAGGTATATACTACGGAGCCCCGGACATGCCATATGTAGTGCCTCTTCATATCGCAACAGGGATCATGGTAGGTACAACGGCTTTAATTGTTTGTGTATTACTCTTGCATTTATATTTAATATAAATTTATATAATTCAAAATATATGTGCATTAATGACATATTGTTAACACACGATATCGCCTCATTGAAATAATATTGTTTGTTTCGAAAACACCTTTATCAACAGTTGCATAACACCATATCAATCTTTATACTTGTAGAAGTATTTTATCATTTTTAAGAGAGAAACCATTTTTGTGGCGTGTTTTTTTGCTCTAATACCCACGAATAGAGAAAACAATTAACGCGATATAATAGAAGATATATGTATTAAATTGTTTTTCGTCGGCTTTCATGCATTTTATTAATATTACCTGGATAAAGTCAGATATGGCAAGCATCATCAATAAAACAAACTAACGCTATAATTAGGCCTTCCTTACTCTTTATTTCTGGAGACTAATTTACGTCTCACTGTGGACAATTCTACTTGATGACTATCGTCTACGAGTCTGGACACTACGTTGTACTTGAATGTATACTTGTAGTGTTTACATAAATTTAAGAATAAATTACATAAAAATATGTTTCAATAAGGGCCTCATCATTTCATGGTCATGATTTATGGTCTGATAGCATATCTGTTTAGACGGCACTGATGTCGTTATCGTCTCCATCTTAATTTAAACCCTCGAAGACGAATTATTGTTACCATGGAATAATCCGAAATCGCATAATACATACATATCACTTTTGATAAACAATTCTGAATATAATTATTGTCTTTCATGAGAATGGTTGGTGTTTTTTATGTTAACGTGTAGTCTACGTATTTATTTGGGGAACATATTTGGTAAGTAAACAATAGTAAACTTTTATAACTTGAATGCGTTTATGAAGTTCTATCTGTGTATTTATTCAATTTTCTTTTTTTCTCAACTTATATTTGGCTCTTCTTTGTATCAGCTAATCGCCGCTGGGATCTGTGCATTCATGGCTTCAAATCGGATACAAACAGAAGACTCTGTATCAGCACAAACTAAATGTCTGGTAAGTATGTATACAGAGGACCCTGTAACATCAGATCATAATCATCTGTTTCATATTGCTCGCCTGGAGAAATACACTTTGCATTAATATCACGTATCTGGATGAGTTGTTACCTGGAGACAGATAGTTCTTCATATTTGTATAGGCTTATATAGAATTTGTTTCTATGTTACTACGTGCCTAACTTCTAAAGAAGACAAAGATGTACTTAGTACTAAACTGATATGAAATAACTTTCAAAAGAGTATATGCTTGAATAGACAAGTCTTTATAGGGTATTTACACATATGCATAATATAGAGAAAATAAAAAAGCAATACCTGAGTTTTAAACCACGTGGTAGACAACAGTTTGACTTTCTGAAATAAATGATAGAAAATAAAATAAAAATTTCGTTGAAGGCAACAAACAATGTCATTCTAGGAGACTTCGGTTTCACAATAGGTTTTCACAATGATTTTGTTCTATACTTTCCCCTCATGGAAAACATTGCTTTAGTGAAAGATCAATCATAAATGTAGAGAAGGAACTGGGTTGAATCACATGTTCTTTACAACACAAAGCTTTCCTATGTGAAGTAAATCAAAACATGTCATTGATAAGGCATACTGTTGCTATGTCGCATGTACGAATCATATATTTAAGTGTCGCTCACAAGACCTATATTTTTAGTTTTGGAGTATTGAGAGAAATTCCAATAAAGAGGCATTTTGTTCGACTCATTTATAATCTTCAAATTTGTCGATTGCTTATTTTATCGTTCATTTTCAACATTCATTTATTTATGCAAACAATCTTCATACAAACACATCTATACCTATAGTTTTAATCTCGAAGTCTCGTTTATGTAACACATGAATGCACTCTTCCTTTTCAGATGATCGGACTTTTCTGTCTGTCTGTGGTCGGGGTCACCATTTGCTTCGTAACAGCTGGGATAAATGGAGTGATGGGTGTTGTATTTTGTCTTGGAGTAGAATACTCGTGTTCAGGCGACCGTTCATGCAAAGTCCGTAGCGTAAACGACCAGTGTACAGAAAACGAGGATACGAACATTGCTGTGTGCAGTGTAATCATCGTGGTCAGTTTTTTAGCCAGTTTACTCTGTATTTTGGTAACGTGTTTCTTTTGTAGGTACGGCCGACTCTTTGGCATCAAAAACAATGGTCACTTTGTAATGTGAGCAAAAGGAAAGATTTACGTAGAGACCCTTAAACAAGGACAGGGGTAACACATGTAAGGGTAAACGCCTTTTGCTTCATCAACGACACCCGAATCGGAAATATATGTCAAATACCACAATGCATGTTTATTTCATCTTAAAATAATGTGAATTTAATCTGTTATCATTTTCTTAAAATGACTTTCTCATACTGATTTGCATTATAGTGTAAATACGTCATAATTATTTAGGATTTATCTCCCTTATATCACTAAATTGAATACCTGTTCATTGATTTGAGCAAACAGGTCGCCGTACACAATACGATACAGCTATGTTTGGTCAGTCTTTCAAGGAAGAAATATGGATCCCGGCAGGTTATTGTTATATGTAAATAAACAAATATTCAAAAATTCTGTTTTGTATATAAAGACTTCATTCTCATCAAATGTCAACATTTCCTAAAGTCATTTTCCAGACAAGCATGTTATGTGGCCATGATTCCAATGTAAGTCAGATGGTTGGTCGTGATTACTGAAGTGCCACGACAAACCGTTAAATATGCAATGTTATACTAGCCAGCCAAACGTATGACACTATTATAGTGATTTGTTTTGATCGAGGTGAAGCGATGAAATGCCGTTGTAGTATGGCAATATGAAGCCAATGGTGCAATGAACCGCGATTCACTTCACTCCACCATAATGGTGAATTGAAGGGTTTTCAGATTTTTTGAATTTTACTATTTAAACCAAATAGGTTTTAGTTTTCATCAGTTTGATGTCCTAAATATGTAAATCACACAAATTGAGTCCGGGTAGGGAAATTTAGGGTAGGGCAGGGGCCTTCACTTCACCATAATGGTGAAATGAAGGGTTTTAACAAAATTCTTTTTGACTTTTTGAAACCAAATCTAATTTTGTTAACATCAGTTTGACGTCCTGAATATGTAAATCACAAAAAAAAATAGATTGGGGTAGGGAAATTTAAGTTGGTGCAGGGGGGCTTAACTTCAACATAATGGTGAAATGAAGGGTTTCAGAATATTTGTTTATCTGTCTTTTTTAAAAGAAATAATGGTGAAATAAAGTTTAAATCAGTTTGATGTCCTATATGTGTTAATCAGAAAAATCAAGTCTCGGGAAGGGAAATTTAGGGTGGGGCAGGGTGGCTTCACTTCACCATAATGGTGAAATGAAAGGTTTTGAGAATTTTATTTTATATTTTACTATTTTAAACATAATCTGTTTAAGTTAACATAAGTTTGACGTCCTGAATATATAAATCACAAAATAATCAAGTCTGGGGTAGAAAAGTTAAGGGCGGGGCTGGGGGAGGTTCACTTTACCACAAAAGTGAAATGAAGGGTTTTAACCATTTTTTTTCTATTTGACTTTTTTGAACCAAATATGATTTAGTTTACATCAGTTTGACGTCCTGAATACGTAATTAACAAACAATTTAGTTAGGGACAGGGAAATATAAGCAACCATAATGGTTAAATGAAAGGTGTTCAGCCTGTTTTTGAATTTTACTTTTTTAACCAAATCTGTTTTAGTTTACATCAGTTTGATGTCATGAATCAAAAACATTGGGTGCTAAGTCTGATGGGCGCTTTATGGAAGTCAGTGCTAGTAGTGTCACATCTTGCTAGATGATCTATTTCAACTGATTGAGGGTCATTGTTGTATAAACTGTTGTAAACCTGCATTTTGTACATTTTGTCATGAGAAGCACACCGCTCTATTGTATGGTCCCCAAATGGTATCCACGTAACAGAACACTAATAAATTTAGTTTCCAATTCACATGATTCATTGGTCGATTTAAAAATTCTACCACACTTTCACCCGTATATGTGTTTGGCTGACACAATTTTATTTTCACTGGATTTTCTAGCACTTCCGCCCAGGTAGTAACCTGGTAGTAATTTCAGTTAACTGCTTGCTCATTCCGTTGTGAACGTCGATAAGCTATTGTCGCTGAGTAGTTGAACTACTTTTCCCTGGATTTGTGATCGAAACGACTCTAGCTCTACAATATCGCCATCAATTCGCGAACATTGGAATATTGACCAGACATCTCCGGTGTCCTCAATCCTTTGGCTTGTATATTTCCCAAAACTTCTTCCCAGCCAATATGTGATGCGTCTTTTGTCATTGGCATATTTCATTTCATTTCATCATACTTTATTGAGTAAACAATAGGATTGAACAGCAGGCTAGGCCTATACAAGTTATCTCCTTAGGTTGACATGACAAAGACAAAGATAAATGAAACGGTCAGTAAGAAAATATTGATGCAAATTTATATATAATAAGTAGCATATATCCCCAGTCTATATATAGCAGATGGTAAAGGGGAGATAATTCCATGTATGTTTCAATAACATATACATATTTAATTGATATTTTTAGCTAAATAATGCTCTTATTAAAAAGTCAATCATAAGTAATTAGTAATAGGAAAGCAATCCCCTAATGATATATTAAACAGAGAAATTGTTGTTGGTGGGTTTTTTTGGGGGGGGGGTGCAAATCATTAATGTCCTCTGTTCATACCCTGCTGCTGTTGCATGAAGTAGTTTAAAGTACAGAACCATTTAGTATCAATATATATCATTGGTAGGAGTGATAAAAAGTAAGGGATACAACAACATCAAAATATAAAAAATAAAATGAGGCAATTTAGCTAGAAGATTTTGAAAATGAAGTGTATGTGTAAGATGTATTGCCAGTGTTCTATGTGTAAATCTTTCATCCCATCGAGTTTCAGACAAAAAGGCTCTAACGGCCTCTACCGTTCACATATCATCCACTGGAGAAGAATCCAGATTCAACCACAGAACACTAAGCATTCAAATCTGGCACATTTATGTTTTACTTTATTGCACCCATCAGTAAAAACAGCACCCAAAGCTTAATCCTTTAGGTGTATAGTATAAACATCAATGTATATATAACAATCAGTAGAATCACATAATGGTTTAGGGACAGTATTTTATCAGTTATGACTATATAAAACAAAATTTATAGATTGTTTTGATTAATTAAACAAGTCTTCTTGTGTTGTATATATATTTAAGAACACTATCAAGTATAGATTTATTTTCAGTATTGTTTAACATAGTGCTTCCATTAAGAAGTATTTTAGTATCAAGATTAACCAGAAACACCAAAAATCTCATTTATTAAAGTTTGTCTCGCATCAGTATACATTGGACATTGTAAAAGATAATGGGTAACAGTTTCATAAGCATCACCACACAGACAAGATGGAGACTCTTTCAAGTGATCTTTGAACAGATCATAGTTCAGGTTGCTCACCTCATTCCTCAGTTGACATAAGATTATGTTACCATTTCTGCTTTCACAATTTTTAAATACATCAGATATATCATTATTAAAACATATTTCATTATATACCTTGGCCTTAAATTTATTACTGCTGGTTTATTTTCATTTACTATAGTAATTTGATCATCAACATCTTGCTCAGAGACTATAATGTTTTCTAATTTTGATAGAGTGGAGATGTCTAATACTGGAGGTTCAGCAAGTGTATCTGATGTTGTGGCTATAGAAGTAAAATATTAATTAAGGGCTTCAGCTTTATCAGTTGGATATTGAATCAGTGTATTGTTAACATTCAATGGTGGAATCGGTTCAGTTTTATTGTTAAAATTAGTTATGGATTTAGCAATTTTCCACCATTTATTAGGGGGCAATGATTTATCACTTAGAGACTTTTGAAGTTTATCAAGCTAATTATGTTTTGCGTCTCTTACCAGATTAATAATCATTCATCAGGTCAGTTATAGATTTAGTTAAAAACATCCTAAATTCATGGGTATCCATATCAGCAGCAATTAAGTTCCAGTCAATAACATTTAGTTCGTCATTCATAATATTAGAGTCAGTTTTGTTATACATCCATACAGTCTTCTTATATGCTTTAAGTTTGAAGATAGCATAACAAACTCCCATATTGGCATTGGCATATCGATAACATTGTGTTCTATCTTGGTGCCATTCCACGCTACCATAGCTGCGTCCCACCATTTGAGATCCTGTATAGTGCCTGTGTCTAATACCAACTTGTGCTGCCATGACGCCCTTTTCCAAGCAGTCTATACACAAAAAGAAGTAGCAATTTACCTGATAATACTGCGAGTGACATGGACATGTGACGATATGCAAGTCAAATGGCATGTTTCAATCTTGTAATTCGCTTCCTTGGAATGAGGATCAAAGCAATGATGTCATTGTTCTCTGTACTGACAATATAATGGCCTTTAAAAAATATCAGAATGGTAATGTTGTCAATCGATTAGTTCTGTATTTAAAACAAATTCCTGAGTACTTTTATGATGTTTCACTGTCGGTATTGTGATGAAAACCATCCTTAAAGTGTACCCTGGATGATTTGCGTTATCAGTCTATGAAAATACTTCATATTATACAACAAAAGGCTATAGAAGTGATAGTCTCTGTCTCCGAGATATTGCGATTTTTCTGGAAAAACACACATTTATCTCAGCGGCGACCTCTTTGATACGACTGACCAACATTTGTGACGTCACAAGTTCAACGCTGTGAAAAACGCCTTATAATTGAGTCAAATGTAAGCGCATCCAACTCCTTTAATGACAAAATAAATGCATAGATGCAATTATTAATACTAAAAAAGAACAGCAACCTGTGTATATTTACCCCGAGTTATAAAGACGTGCAACATTTGTAAATAACTATTGTTGACATTACTTGTCTTGTCTCGCTGCATTAGATATAGAGGTACATGTATAATGAGCTGGTAATTTCCATGTTTTTATTCTTTGTGCAATAGGGTGAATTTAAGAAGTTAACCAATACATTTCTTTCATTTTTGATAAAAAAATGAATATACACACCAATTTAAAGAATATTGGAGAGGTAAAACCTGTCCATTTCACTAATCTGATGTATAAGCGGGTTCAAGTCTCACTAATACTAGTAATTTATCATTGAACCACCTGGTCAGATATAAAATAGGCAAAGTTTGATCCAGCATATGGCTTTCTTCTCTCGGGTGATGCAGTCGTCTTGATTGTGGTTTGTTTTTTGCATAACATGCAACACAACCTTTGACAGTGCTTACACATTTTATTTATGAATTATTATCTTGACGGGGATCATTGTTCTTATTCCCTGTTATCTAACCTGACGACATTGTTGTTAAATGGAAAATGGACAGACAAATAATTCACGTAATCTACCCCCTTGGGACTCCAGTCGTGCAATTAACACAAATGTCACACCTACAACGGATGATGTACATATATATTGTATAAAAAAAATATTTTTATCTCATTATTTCAATAATATTCTCGAGGTAAACTCAAGTATCAACTGTAACTTGATGGTCCTTGTGTTTCTAAACATTTCTTCATGTTGGTTAGTATGGATTATAAAAAGTTCTTTTTACACAACCAATACAATTTTCTAGGTGACGTTTTGATGACTAGTACGAGTAATATGTACACTGTCACCTTCACTAGACAAATGAACAGTGAAGCGTATGCACACAAAGGTGTAAATTGTGTACGAGTTGCCCACAAAATCGATTCGGCTGTAAGCGTATGTACAATAGTTGTTATATATTTTCCTCGACTGCCCCAGCGTTAAAGTCGCCAGAGGGATCGATTGATCCCCCACGTGGTTGTAATCATCCAAGCTACTACTTTGCTTGTTCTGAATTTCAGAATGTCATGACTTACATCTTTGCTCTCTGTTTAATAACATTAAGTATACATTCAGATTATGATATCAAAAAGTAATGTTGTTATGTGCGCTTTATGTTAGCGCATAATATGATATATTTTATTGAGTCATTTCTGAAGTATACTTAAAGAATGATAACTTTAATAGTACCATGATTGATTATTCGTAGTTATCGTAGCAGCTTAAGGCTGAAGGTACCGACAGTTTTTTGTCGTTGGTACACCTATAACGAATCACATTCAAGCTTTTTCTTGGTAGCATTTCATTCCCCCCGCCAAATAATTCCCCCCTTTCAGCGGACAATTGTATTCTGTACCTGTGTCAGCTCCAAAGGGGAAAATGAATGATTATGGTAATCCTGACAAAGTAAGCAGACTCTCTAAAAACCGGCCAAACTATATGATCCCAAAATAGTTCAGTTTCGAGGTTTAGACAGACTCCATTGTATAATGAATCTTTCAAACTAATCTATTCTTCAACCGTGTTTTACATATTCGAAAATGCTTACCTGCATTTGGTGATGGAGAAATATTATTGTTAAAGATACATATATATCCCCTTTCTATTCCCAATATATAAATATATATTTAAGTGTTATATTTATGCTCCCGTGGAATACATCTTCCTTTTTAGCCTATCGGAGTTCAGTTCCCGTTTATTTGTGTTCTTAATACTACCCACAGCTACAAATGACACACCCAGTAGCCGACCACCACAGTGGAATGCCCTCCCCATTTCTATCTGCCTCGTGTGCTACACATCACAACAGTTGAACAAAAAGCATATATATAATAAAAAGAAAACTTCTGATTAATATTAAATGTATTATTGTACTTATAAATGTGTATAATATTACAAAAACAAACAATATCACCTTTATTTTCTAGGTTGTGCGTGAGTTTGTAACAAATTGGAACCGGGACAAATCATAGATATAAACTGAGACGAATATCAATTTAATCCCAGTATCATATGCAAAAATAATAATAGTTCTGTAAAAAACATTCTAAATTTTAATAGATGTAATTGTTATTCTGCATGTCCATCAGTCCATCACTGTTCGTAAAATGTGCAGTGAATATCTTGGTTATCTTATTTAATTCAAACTAATCAGAAGCCAAGTCTCTGTGGTCATCGGGTAAAATAATGAAAACCAACATAGTATTAACAGTGCCATAACACATCTATCTACAAACAGAATGTACCACACTTTTTGAAAATCGGACAATTAGACGCCAAGGAAACGTCTGTTATCTTTTACATCTACAAAAATGAAGACACAGTACAGTTAAAGGTGTCACAATATACCTAGCTCTACATGACAACCCTGATCGGAAAAAGGACAATATGATTTTTGACCAGTAAGAAGCCAACTTCAGCGATTTTGGAAGAACAATTGTGTTAGATGTGGCATTGTCAAAACTTTCAAATTTTATTTAAAATAGGACATCTACTAAATTTCGACCAATCCGAAGCCAGGGTTTGGATGCCGTGTTATTGGGACGGAAACAGAATATTTACTTGATTTCGTAGTGTTATATTTCACTTGAATACTTAATTCGTTCAAAACTGGACAATGTCTAAATTTCGAACGATAAGATGCGAAAACAAAGGTAGTTCGGAGACGTTTGACGTGGTCCCAGTCACATACAGTTGGTAGATTTGAATAGTGCATCGCTCTCGACAACAAAACACTGATTACAATGTAGAACTGAACAAAAAACGCAAAAAAAAAATCATGAATAAAATTGCTTTTCATGTTAGGTGTTATTACAGTGAATAACCTAAACGATAACATTTCCATGAACGTTTATAGATAATACAGTAATGCTCTCTCCATCAGTTGTATCAAGTTATCCAAGAATATTATCGTTACATATAGATATATTACTAGTTTCTTCTCTTCACCAGCTGTGTTAAATCAAGCATCCAGAACGTTGCCTGCCTTTTCGGAGATAACATAAGACATGAGCAAATGTTAATGATTTTCTTGATTCAAACTATGAAAGTCAAAACAATCTCGAGTTATCTATCTAGAATAGGATAAAAACGCGAGAGCTACACGTTTCTTCTTTGTTCTTACTTAAAAGTTTCAAATTTTAACGCGATATACCGAACACACAGTCAACAATTTTGATTTGTTTTAAATTATTACTTTCAGTGAAATATTTTTCCTCATTGTACACGATTTCATAAAGAATAGGTATGATATATTTCAATAATTTAACGAGTTCATTTTCATTTAGACGCAAACCCTTCACTCCATGACTTTCAAGAACTTCTACTATTTACAAAAGAAAGGTAAACACGTACATTTCCCCCACGACGCTGCTGTAAGGTAAGGCGAGGCTGTGGAAGAACATTTCGGACACTTGTACTTCATTATTATGCTTTCAAATCACGTCAATTGTACTATACTAGTCGTTTGTAATCAGCTTTGTGTATCACTCAGTTAGGATGGTATGTCTCGGTTAACTGCCTGTTTGCTTTCTTGACAAAACTTTAAGTACAAGTGTTAACTTCACATTAATACCGATGCACGGATGTCTATGGAATAAACAGATAATCTCTTTAAGTGAACACGTGTTTTAATAGAAAGCAATCGTGGACTGACTATTACAATATAGCTTTAATTGCTTGGCGAAACTTGTGCCTTTTGATATCTAAAGACTTGTTAGCTTCAGCTAGTATGCAAGGCTATTCAAGTACAACACAGAGAAAACATCACGACAAAAGTTCAAGTAAAAGCTGACACCATAAACAAAATGAACCAATATAGACCGTGTCTATAGCACATGAAAGACTGGTTTTTCATTCAATTTAGTCTGTTAAAATATATTCTTGAGAAATTTACGCATGTATACTGCTTAAATTACATTTGGGTTTTTTACAACCAAAACGTAGACACATATTTTTCTGTGTTACATATTTTTATTTCATCCATCTTATTATTTTGACCGTTTTAGAGAATTTTAATTTGTTGTCTACTACAATGCAATACCATTGATTATTTACAAATGTCTATTCCTCGAAACATTAAAGCTTACAAGTACATTGTACATCAACTTATAACAGAAAACAAATTTAAAACATACAAGCTTTATGCACTGTACCTATATTCTTATCACAATCCTGCGGCCAATACGTCTGTGCACGTTTTATAGAGCTATATGGTTTCAATAAAGTAGGTATACGACAATAAAAAATAAAGAACAGTTACAGGAAAACTGTTTATCTGACCACCTGCTTATAAAAACAGTTTGTCTACGTCAAGTCTTTCATTATACTGATAACGAGTCTATTTAGAGCACTTCTCTGGCAATTTTTTTTTATGTCTTTATAAAAAGCATATCTTCAGTTCTTGAATATTATAACTCACCATTAAGTGCTGTCCGTTGTTTATATTTATTGTTGTTTACGTCACCAATCAGCATTTTGACATTCCTTTGGGTCTCTCAGATGATTTCAGTAATTATTATTTATTCTTTCGTGAGAATTTTTTTCTAATCATTTCTCTTCGTTTACTCGATTTAACGTGGTTACCCTTATTAATCAAAGACGATAGCATGTACAGTTACGTCTTCCAGTGTCTGTGCTTATTCTTATCTAGATAATTATAACAGACTTGTAATTACTAGCCCCAATTAAGTATGACACATTTTAAGAAGAAAAGAAGAATCAAATTCTAAATAAAAAAGGATGAACGTACGGCAAAGTTTGAAACAATATTTATATGGAAAACATTGAAAACCTAAAAAGGTAATAAGGCCAGGTGAATCGAATATGTTTTAGTCATGCCATTATAAAAGTAAAATACTACTCCCTTCGGAAGCGACTTCACACAAAATTTGCCTGTCACGGGACATCACAACATACAACATACACATCCCGTGACGTTTTGATTTTACAACTGATGTCGTAAAAGAATTACAATGGTATTACTACAATGTAGCATATTTCGAAACCAAACAAAAACATTTCTTTTTGAAATTCAGTGATTTTTTTCCCCACATTTTTGTTGGGATATGAAATAAAAACCTAAGTAAGAAACTTTTGTAAACCTCTGCTACGCGGATACTTACAGGTTTTCTTTACATTCGATGGAATCAAAAACACAAGATAGCAAAAAAGCAGTTCTATTAAAAGAAAAGTGCGAACACAAATAAAATGTCTTCATGAATCAATACAATTTTGATAGGAAACACGTTATGAATTCACTTAGGTTCTCAAACTTAGCTCATGTATTGTGAAGAAAGAGCATTGACCTTTCCCTTATCAGACACGCAGTAGATATCGGTAGCATTATTATGCAATTGTAAATTGAACTCAATCGCCATGTCAAGATAAGAGTTTTCTAGGTACTAAGATATCTGCTTTAAGACCCAAGCCTGTTAGCATTTCCACATGTTAAAAACCTTTTTAGTGTCCATGCACTTTTCAAACCGCACACATGCTTGTAGGCAGTCATTATTGTGCATGCTGTTGACGTGAAGTGCCGGACGACTTACAGTTTGCAACTATGGTGGTCATGTGGAGTTGGAAGGGACACTGGGAAATCCTCTGTCTGATTATCCAGGTAACTTGTAAAACAGTGTTTCCTTCGTCGTAAATATATTTTGGTATTGTGTATTTATTATTTTTTCATTACTTAATTTGGTGCTGATATGATATGATGTCATATTGCGTGTAAATCACTTGATTTATTATAAAATAAAACGTTGTTGAAATTAATTAAAACGACAATATGGACATTTATTTCTTTAATTATGGTTTGTTTCCATGATAATGAGTCTGGCAAAGACGACGGCGATGACGACGACGCAGACGATGATGAGGACAGCTACGAGGATGACGACGCAGACAATTATGAGAAGAGTGACGAAGATGACGATGATGATGACAATGACGACGACGCAGACTATGACAATGAAAAACGCCGATGAATGATTATGACAGTGACGATGACGAAGCAAACGATGATGATGACAGTGACGACGACGAAGCAGACGATGATGATGACAGTGACGACGACGTAGACTATGACAATAAAAAACGCCGACGATGATGACGATGACGGTGATGACTGTGACGATGAGAGTGACGATGATGACGACGCAGACAATTGTGAGGACAGTAACGACGATGACGATGAAGATGATGATAGTGACGACGACGACGCCGCAGACAATGACAATGAAAAACGCCAACGATGATGACGCAGACAATGATGATGACAGTGACGATGACGAAGCAGACGATGATTTTGATGACCATGAAGGAGACGATTTCGCAAACGATGATAATGATGATGACAGCGATGACGACGACATTATTTTTTGAATAATATAAAATTGAACATGAAGATGTTTACAGATCACCACTTGCCTGACATCAGATCAGTCGCTTGAAGACTTCATTGTCTCTCTGAGCTTGAAAAACGGTAAGTAATGCAATTACAATATGGTTTATAATAGATATATATATATATAAATTGTTCAATCAAACAGTTAAAATGTTTCAAAGTATATAATTAAACAGAATTATTAATGTTTCGTTACCTGAACAACTTAAGCAATGATCGGTAATAACATGATTGTTTTCGTTATGAAATCAAACGTCACTTTATATACAATTTTGTTATCGATTAATGGGAATTTTCTCCCCATCCAAAGAAATGCCATATAAAATAATAATTGTTTTTAATGATAATCTTTTTTATTATTTATAAATTAACTCATATTGGCTCTTTTATAAAACCAAAGCCTGTTCACTAATCAATATAAAATCACTGGATGATAATTCTGTCTCTGATTAACTTTTTTCAATTCTGTATCGGTTTTTGTTTTCTCTCTCTCTCATCGTCCTTTCACAGTACGGCAACAACATAATGTGCCTGTGTGAAATGCTATCTAAACATCATCTGAAACATTGTGTTCCTGTACATACATATCTATGTGAAATATTTATTTCTGTGCGGATTTATTTGTCTGATACTTGTGTTTCTGTACAGATGCCACTGTCTGACATTTGTATTCATGTTCGATTACGTCTGACCGACATTTGTATTGATGCTCGAACACTCTTTCCGATATTTGTTTTCATGTTGGGATACACTTGCAAAACGTTTTTTATTCATATTCAAATGCCTATATTTAACATATGTGTTCATGTTCCAATAATTCTGTCAAACATTTGTATTCATGTTCGCATATCTTTAACCGACATGTGTATTCATGTTCGAATACCTCCAACCGACATTTGAATTCATGTTCTAATATTTCTAACCGACATTTATATTCATATTCGGATACCTCTCACCGACATCTGTATTCATGTTCGCATACCTCTAACCGATATCTGTATTCATGTTCGCATACCTCTCACCGATATTTGTATTCATGTTCGAATATCTTTCACCGACATTTATATTCATGTTCGAATATCTTTCACCGACATTTATATTCATGTTCGAATATCTTTCACCGACATTTGTATACATGTTCGAATACCTCTCACCGACATTTGTATTCATATTCGAATATCTTTCATTGACATTTGTATTTTTGTTCGAATATCTTTCACAGACATTTGTATTAATGTTCGAATATCTTTCACCGACATTTGCATACATGTTCGCATACCTCTCACCGACATTTGTATTCATGTTCGAATATCTTTCATTGACATTTGTATTTATGTTCGAATATCTTTCACCGACATTTATATTCATGTTCGAATACCTCTCACCGACATTTGTATTCATGTTCGAATACCTCTCACCGACATTTATATTCATGTTCGAATATCTTTCACCGACATTTATATTCATGTTCGAATATCTTTCACCGACATTTGTATTCATGTTCGAATATATTTCATCGACATTTGCATTCATGTTCGAATACCTCTCATCGACATGTCTATTCATGTTCGAATATTTTTCATCGACATCTGTATTCATATTCGAACACATCTGTCAAACCTTTGTACTCATGTTCGAATACCTCTGTCTGACAGTTGTGTCAATGTTCGAATACCTCTGTCTGACAGTTGTGTTAATGTTCGAATACCTCTGTCTGACAGTTGCGTCAATGTTCGAATACCTCTGTCTGACAGTTGTGTTAATGATCGAATACTTCTGTCTGACAGTTGTGTTAATGTTCGAATACCTCTGTCTGACAGTTGCGTCAATGTTCGAATACCTCTGTCTGACAGTTATTTCAATGTTCGAATACCTCTGTCTGACAGTTTTGTTAATGTTCGAATACCTCTGTCTGACAGTTATTTCAATGTTCGAATACCTCTGTCTGACAGTTTCGTCAATGTTCGAATACCTCTGTCTGACAGTTGTGTTAATGTTCGAATACCTCTGTCTGACAGTTTCGTCAATGTTCGAATACCTCTGTCTGACAGTTTTGTCAATGTTCGAATACCTCTGTCTGACAGTTTCGTCAATGTTCGAATACCTCTGTCTGACAGTTTTGTTAATGTTCGAATAACATTAGAAATAACCAACTATAAATAGTTGTGTTTCTGTACAAAAATATTTGCTGAGCGTTTGCAATTCTTAACTCACAAATCTGCGTGACATTAATGACAACTCTGTCTAACATTCTCTCAATTACCTGTGTACTATTTGTAGAAACACCACAAAGCAAAGGTTGAAATCGGTACATAAGAGTCTAGAGAAAATAAGAAAAGTTATTCCAAATAACATTTGCATTTTCAATGTTTTTTTAACTGTGAAAGTGAAAAATTGTGCCGCTCGCGTTTTTCGCATTGAATAAATAAGCGCCAAAATATACACAGTCCAAAATATTTACTTATAGCTTTTATAGACTAACAATATATCGAATACTATGTTGAGTATAAATATTTCAGAACCATAACGTGTACATTTGCACGCGCGAAAAAAAATCCTTTTTACAGTATCCGACTGCGGATAATTAAGGGATATAATGTGAACTTGGCCTATGTCGAAATTGGCATACTGAAATAAATAACCCAAATATCGTCTTAGTAAGACAAGGATATTAGAAATACTCTTTGTATTAGTAGCCTTTTAATTCTATAGAAGTGTGTAATTTTAATGAGGTACTTTTAGTAATATCACCCTTTGTTTATCTATTTTGTAACCAAAAAATGGTAATTGCATAAGCAGCATTGTCGACAAACAAATAAAGGTATAACCTGGTCACTGCACCGTCCTTTATAAAAGCAGAAATAATGAGAAAAGCTTAATATCTAGTGCTGAATACATACCATGCTTTGATACATATGTCGAAACAAATTGATGGACGAGTTGATTTAGGAAGAAGTAGATTGTTTTATTATATATTAATAATTCATTCCATATGTTTATTGGAATGTAAGTATGCAGATTGAGACAAACTTGTCGTGATAAGATGTATAACTATTAAACATCACCATATCGTGTTGTGTTACTTTGCTTTAGCTGGCTACCAGGACTTCCGTCTGTCTACTATCCACGACGCATGTATTACAACGTAAGTGCCTAACAAGCCATCTGTTATAGTCTTTGAGATTCAGATTTCTTTCCTTAATACAAGTATAACCATAACGGGAACGAAAGCCCTCGACTGTTCCCAATCTAGGGCCGTTTACGTATTTCTTCAATTTGTGTAAAGTGATAGGAAACAAAATGCCGGTCAAGTAGCTCAAAAACTGACAGAAAATCCGGAATAAGCTTAGGTACTTCACGAAACCGGCACCATCTGTTCGTTATTTAGAAACAAGCCAAACATTTTCATCAATTTTAAATACTATAGCGTCAACATAATATAAGGAATTCAGATTATATTCAATAAAGTGCAAAACAACCAGCATCAGTTACAGATAAGTCATCAAAATCAATAGATTCTATCAGATGAACTCGCTTTTATTTAAGTGTGTAGTGTACCTCATGTATCACCAGCCCGAATGTTTTCCGTAAGATCCGTGAAAGTAGGAAAATACTATTTAATACTTCGTTCGATCATAGAAACCGGAAAATGTGTTTATTCAAAATAATATCAAACCTCTCAGGTGTCTTCATCAACTCTCGGTAAGATAATGCACTTTTACCCAGAGTAATAAAACGTCTATTATTACATTAAACACATCAATTTAGGCTGCAACAAAATCATATAGGTCCCTTAGTGTTTTGTTGGACCTGAGGTTTGCATAATTAGGTCACGAACAATGCTTATAATAATCTTTTCTATAACGTCGCAACACAACGAAACCATTGTTGTCCTACTTATAATTCCGTTTTCCTGTACCTCATTGATAAAACGTAGATACTATTTTTGATGACTTTATGAGGTCACATTATGTTATAAATATTGTTTGATTTCTGTAGAAATAGCAGTTCTTTAGACGTGTTGCACAAGCGAGGGTCTGTAAACGAAGACATCGAATTAGAAGTACCAGCGTTTGGGGAGAACCTTTACATAAGAGCAAGATCGGTTAGGTCCGTGTTACACCCCCGGGCCGAGGTTTTAGTCACTCGTGGAGACCATGAACACGTATGGACTGGAATTCACCCAGACTGCTTTCTATCAGGGGAGGTGACGTCACATAATGGGACAGTGACCTTAGCCTACTGTGACGGTGTGGTATATATACTAATATATAACTCTATCTCATACACCTACCTTGTGCATGAACATTATCTGACGTGCCAAACCGTATCTATAAATCAATTATGGGTTCAATAAATCTTCTCTGTAATACATGCATTTTACAATTACCATTTTCTAAAAACACTTATTACAGGTCAAGTGTTTCTTTTTTTGATGTTGTCATTATGTTGCAAGATATGTATTTTGGTGTTTGGTGAACAACCATTTCTGAACTGAGATATCTTGTCAAGATCTAATAGTTTTTAGGTATATTTCATTTCTTTTAAAACGTTCACTAAGTGCAATCATCAAATCGACGGAAATAATACCTCTAATAAATGCATATAACTCACTTTGATTTAATTACCGTTTTCTATTGTTAGACTGGGTTAATTTCCACTCCGAGACATTTATACAGAGTTGACTCCGTTCCGGGACATCTCCAGTCAACAGACAAACAGACAGGTGTGACTAGCAACATCCTTATCTCCCGTAAAAACAATACTCGGGAATTAAGTTCACAAGATAGAGGTAAGATATTCAACAACTTATATAGTTGTATCATTCGGAATCTTTGAGGAGAACAGAACATCGTGTTGTTTTTTTAATTGTATTTTAATTCAATTTGCGATCATATTATACATGCGATTGATTTATTCTTTTATGTATGAAGTTTATGCATTAAACATAAACCTTCAATATGTCAATATGTACAAACTTTAAAATAAACAAAAAACAAAACAAAGACGCTTGTATATCACATGGTGTCTTGTAAAGTCAGAGTCAATGATCGAAAAGTTATATAACCGTGAAGTATGAAATTAACGTTGACTGAATTATATAGAAAGATGAGTTCGCAAAATAAGGTGCAATCGAAAACATTTTATTTGTAAAATTGATTGTGTTTGTTAATATAACAGAGTTCTATATTGTATAACTGTTAATACCGTCATGTAGTATGTTTACGTCCAAATATTATTGTAATCATACACTAAAGAACATGTACAGAAATGACAAGCGCAGAAATGACAAGAATATTATAAAATAATATATAACTATTTAACACTACCAAGGCCAATTACGTGTTTTGAGACCATAACACAGGCGTAGTGACATCTACACGGGTCCGGCTAACTACCGGATTGCTATTCCCCTCCGCACTAGCATGCAGATGAGCAAAACAAAAACACTATGATTCAATAATATTCACTGTTTTGTAAGGCTATTACAAAAGGTGAATTAAATATGTTGATTAATTAAATTATTTCCTCGAACGATATTATTTACGGGGAATGTCAAGAAACAACATTTCATGAGTAATTTCATTGGCTGTTCTACCTTTTTAACAAACAGGAACTTTAAACTGCGTTTTGAACTTTAAATGAAAACAAAAATGTAAATATAATCATGAAACAGCATTCAGTTCCTAGTTATGGTCATATTACACGGAACAGGATTAAAAATAAATGATCATAATGCGCTAATGCGCGTTTTTCAATTTGTCTGCAATCCTGTTCCGTATTATAGGACCATTACTAGGAACAGAATGCTGTTTAACGCTAAATGGATATACATATCACTTTGCATTGTGTTTGATATTCATAGCAAACTGAGCATTCAATAGTCAGATAGTTTATGTACTTCATAATAACGTATTTCACTTGTTGTGATTTTGTACAAGGAGATGATACAGTCGCAAGAGGTCAGCTAGGACAGTATTCAACTCTCCACAAGAAAGCTGTTCCATCCCACGACATAACTATAGAGACAGCCGTATTCACAGATGCTCCATTTACCAAGCTGATGGGCACAAACGATACTGCCAAACGGTTAGAGCTGATGATACTGAAATACAACATGGTAAGATTCGGTTTCGGATAATACAACATTGTTAAACTTGTTCTGTAAACATAACATATTAATAATCATTGTTCAACAACAGTAAAATGTTATGTGAAAAAAACTAAATAACAGCACATGGATTTTTATTTTAAGGCATTTATCATACTTGTCACTAAGGCATGACTGACGTAACAACACTTTAAGTTTGTATTTGTATAACGTTCATGTGTTGACAAGATAATACCTAAGTGACAACAAAATCGTAAATCGTAATTAAAACCCATAAAATCATGATGAATTATGAACAAAAAAGCAAGACAAATATTGATACTCTTGAAAGAGACAAAAGGCCTAGGTTTCTGAAGGGTGAGTGTCTTCTGCTCCATAATCAGCACCTACTATAAATCTAGGTCAAGCCAAGTGATGCAGCGTCCTCAAAGCGAGAACCACGGTAATAGTAACAATTAACGTTAATTCAAACGAGTTTAGACGATATGCGTTTTTAGTCAGGTGTCAGGTAACTAAGGTTTTTCGATAAATCAAGCAAGTGTCATGTATATATTGTTTTAACGCCTATATCTAAGAGTTAAACTATGGCTGCGAGTAAGTGTCTTACTCAAAGTGATAGAAGTGAAACAACTGACTATGTAGTAGCTTTACCTTATCAAAAGGAAGGAATGTGCCCCGCAAATGTTAAGCTGATGTTATTCTTGTTTCAGGTACAAATGGAGTGGTCTCGATCGCAAATGTTGGGATACAATGTCACGATACAAATAAAGTATATCAACTTCTATGAGACGGACCCTGTAAGTGACCCAAAACTTCTTTTTTTATTTTGACATCATATTTTTCAGAATATTGTTAAAAAATAAAATAAAATACAATGTTGAAATATATCCCTCCTTATCATCAGACTGCATGATTTAGAAAGGTACATTTGTAGATGTTTCTGTTAAGCACTCAAACACAGAAAGACAGACATCTATGGGATACTCACTGCAACATTTATAAAATGAACCGTGACTGTCGTGTTTCAGAGCTGGTATAAAGTTTCCGGTGATAACTACGCAGGCTTACTGGGCACATTTTGCACAGGCACTCAGCATCTTCCTCATGATCACGTGTTCATGCATACCGGGTCAGTAACGTGTTACCTTATCAGCGGTCATGTCAATATAGATAGAGTGGAAATGATGTTTTATTATATTTATCTAACAAATATTTATTTGAAAGGTTGCTCTCTGCAATCCTGGAATATGTCAAAGCAAGATTGAAGACTGTAAAATTTACTGGCTTCGAGCAGTCGGATTTCGCGTCTTTGTAATCTTCAAAGGACACGTATCAGACAAGCGATTGGTCAGATTTTTTTACCAGAGACCAATGAAATAGCTAGTATCGTGCCTTCCATTTTGCTTTGACATCTATCAATGATGCAGGAACCGACAGTGAGCGTAATCCATGGAGATTCGAGAATAACCAGGTAGTGAATGATCCATTTCACAAAAGTACAAAATATTTGAAAAAAATCAAAATCCATATTTGTATATTTCGTATGAAAAATAGAATTTGAGCAGTCTGATTAACCTTTTAATCAACTTACACAAATGATGGATCTGAATGTTATCCAGTAATAAAATATCAACCTCATTTTTCAGACATCATGGGAAAGGTCTATTAGGAACGTCGTATCAGTCAAGGGTATGCCATCCCCTCTACCGCTGTGGGTACGAAAGTAGTCATGATGTCATAACATACATCGCTACAGCTCACGAGACCGGACACGTGTAAGTTAACAAGTTGAGTTTATTTAAAAACAAAGGATATTCGTAACACAGAAATCTGCCGGGTTGTGGATTTCGTCATTGTTTTCGGTGTTTTGTTTTTTTATTATATTATTTCTGTTTTATTCCGGTATTTCGTTTCGTTGTAACTGCAGTTTTTCGCTATTTCGGTTTTTCATGTTTTCAACTAAATTTGTCAATCCTTTTCCTTCTAAATGAGTTTTTTTATAATCTAAATCAAACAAAATTATACAATTCAAACATGTTAAAGGCTATGAGATACCCGGTAAGCACACTAGACTTGTATTTCTTAAACAAACATTGCTAACAATTGATCATAGAATTAAAAACTTTCTTAACTTTAATTGAATTCGGGGGGTTTTTTTAAAGAGAAAAGCGGTTATGCATGATAGTAAAACAGTTAAAGACAGAGTTAACTGATACCTTTTGTAGACTTGGTATGTACCATGACGCAGACCGAGGTTGCAAGCCACCGAATGTAGGAGTTATGGGAGGGTACGGAGCAGGATGGAGCACCTGTAGTAGAAACGACATGGACGCCTTTTTAAGGTATACTTTTACATGTCGCAATGCTGCCTTAAGGTATACCTTAACCTGTCCCAATGCTGTCTTAAGGTATACTTTTACCTGTTCTAATGCTGTCTTAATGTATACCTTTACATGTAACATTGTTATTGTAAGGTATACTTTTACATGTCGCAATGCTGTCTTAAGGTATACTTTTATCTGTTCCAATGCTGTCTTAAGGTATACTTTTACATGTAACATTGTTATTGTAAGGTATACTTTTACCTGTCGCAATGTTTTCTTAAGGTATACCTTTACATGTAACATTGTTATTGTAAGGTATACTCTTACATGTCGCAATGTTGTCTTAAGGTATACCTTTACATGTAACATTGTTATTGTAAGGTATACTCTTACATGTCGCAATGCTGTCTTAAGGTATACTTTTACATGTCCCAATGCTGTCTTAAGGTATACTTTTACATGTCGCAATGCTGTCTTAAGGTATACCTTTATATGTCGCAATGCTGTCTTGATGTATACCTTTACATGTCCCAATGCTGTCTTAAAGTATACTTTTACCTGTCGCAATGTTGTCTTAAGGTATACTTTTATATGTCGCAATGCTGTCTTAAGGTATACTTTTACCTGTCGCAATGTTTTCTTAAGGTATACCTTTACATGTAACATTGTTATTGTAGGTTATACTCTTACATGTCGCAATGCTGTCTTAAGGTATACTTTTACCTGTCGCAATGTTTTCTTAAGGTATACCTTTACATGTAACATTGTTATTGTAGGTTATACTCTTACATGTCGCAATGCTGTCTTAAGGTATACCTTTACATGTCACATTGTTATTGTAAGGTATACTTTTACCTGTCGCAATGTTGTCTTAAGGTATACTTTTACATGTCGCAATGCTGTCTTAAGGTATACCTTTATGTCGCAATGCTGTCTTGATGTATACCTTTACATGTCCCAATGCTGTCTTAAAGTATACTTTTACCTGTCGCAATGTTGTCTTAAGGTATACTTCTATATGTCGCAATGCTGTCTTAAGGTATACTTTTACCTGTCGCAATGTTGTCTTAAGGTATACTTTTACCTGTCGCAGTGCTGTCTTAAGGTATACCTTTACATGTAACATTGTTATTGTAAGGTATACTCTTACATGTCGCAATGCTGTCTTAAGGTATACTTTTACATGTCCCAATGCTGTCTTAAACTATACTTTTTCAGGTAATATTGTTATTTTAAGGTATACTGTTATTTTAAGGTATACTTTTACATGTAACATTGTTATTTTAAGGATTACCTTTACATGTAGCATTTTTTTAAGGTATTCCTTTACATGTAACATTGTTATTTTAAGGTATAACTTTACATGTAACATTGTTATTTTAAGGTATACCTTTACATGTAATATTGGTATTTTAAGGTATACTTTTACAGATAACATTGTTATTTCAAGGTATACTTTTACAGATAACATTGTTATTTTAAGGTATACTTTTACAGATAACATTGTTATTTTAAGGTATACTTTTACAGATAACATTGTTATTTTAAGGTATACTTTTACAGATAACATTGTTATTTTAAGGTATACTTTTACAGATAACATTGTTATTTTAAGGTATACTTTTACAGATAACATTGTTATTTTAAGGTATACTTTTACAGATAACATTGTTATTTTAAGGTATACTTTTACAGATAACATTGTTATTTTAAGGTATACCTTTACATGTAACATTGTTATTTTAAGGTATACCTTTACACGTAACATTGTTATTTTAAGGTAAACCTTCACACGTAACATTGTTATTTCAAGGTATACCTTTACATGTAGCAATTTTTTTAAGGTATACCTTTACATGTAACATTGGTATTTTAAGGTATACCTTTACGTGTAGCATTGTTATATTAAGGTTTACCTTTACATGTAACATTGTTATATTAAGGTATACCTTTACTTGTAACATTGATATTTTAGGTATACCTTTACATGTAAAATTGTTATTTTAAGGTATACCTTTACATGTAATATTGGTATTTTAAGGTATACTTTTACACGTAACATTGTTATTTTAAGGTATACCTTTACATGTAACATTGTTATTTTAAGGAATACCTTTACATGTAAAATTGTTATTTTAAGGTATACCTTTACATGTAATATTGGTTTTTTAAGGAATACCTTTACATGTAATATTGGTATTTTAAGGAATACCTTTACATGTAACATTGTTATTTTAAGGAATACCTTTACATGTAATATTGGTATTTTAAGGTTTACCTTTACTTGTAACATTGATATTTTAAGGTATACCTTTACATGTAAAATTGTTATTTTAAGGTATACCTTTACATGTAATATTGGTATTTTAAGGTATACCTTTACTTGTAATATTGTTATATCAAGGTATACCTTTACTTGTAACATTGTTATATTAAGGTATACCTTTACATGTAACATTGTTATTTTTCAGGTATACCAAAAAAAGGCATACTCCTTTTGTTATAATCTAAAGGGTAAAATTGTTTCCAAAATTGAGTACAACCGGTGGGTTCTTAAAGAACGAAATGGTCATAGGGTTAAGTAGATATTTAATTGGATTTCTTCATCGACCATTTAAGGTGGTGCATCATTCCTTCTTTATTTAAGGATTATTTGTCATGACAATGTGTCATACTTATATCACTACAATTGTAAGGAACGCACCTGTCATCATATGTTGCAAACAATGAATAAATTGTTAGATAATATGTTAAATTATTTTACTATATCTGATAAATATCCTTTTCCTTATAGTTCTGGTCACACCCCATGTCTGTGGAGAGAAGACGTTCCATTGACCAACGTTACTACACCACTTCAGTCTATCTCTTTAAAGACACACTTATTAGGTAAATTTATACCAGGTAGAGCAACATACGTCATATGGGTGCTTCAGCCTTCGTTTGAAGCACCTTGTGTATTGGGGAGAGATAATAAACATATTGAGTTGAATCATGGATAAAAGATCATAATTTCAGGATTTTATATATATAATCTGTATACTCTTATTTCGAGGTTGGAATCATTCACTAAATATCTGTCATGGTATGTGAGACATTGTGTAGTACAACATCATGTATATACACATCAAAAGCCTTTTACAATTTTGATATCAACATCAGAAATCTTCCGTCAGCATGTGTCTCAACCTTTGTCAAATAATTATGTTAATGGGAGAGTTCTACGTCACTCTGCATTACCACTATATCTTGTTAATGGGAAAGGTTCTGCGTCACTCTGCTCTACCACTTTATTATGTTAATGGGAGAGGTTCTACGTCATTCTGCTCTACCACTATATTATGTTAAAGGGAGAGGTTCTAAGTCACTCTGCTCTACCCCTATATTTTGTTGATGGTAGAGGTTCTACGTCATTCTGCTCTACCACTATATCATGTTAATGGGAGAGGTTCTACGTCACTCTGCTCTACCACTATATTGTGTTAATGGGAGAGGTTCTACGTCACTCTGCTCTACCTCTATATTATGTTAAAGGGAGAGGTTCTACGTCACTCTGCTCTACCGCTATACTATGTTAATGGGAGAGGTTCTACGTCAATCTGCTCTACCACTATATTTTGTTAATGGGAGAGGGTCTACGTCACTCTGCTCTACCACTATATTATGTTAATGGGAGAGGGTCTACGTCACTCTGCTCTACCACTATATTATGTTAAAGGGAGAGGTTCTACGTCACTCTGCTCTACCGCTATACTATGTTAATGGGAGAGGTTCTACGTCACTCTGCTCTACCACTATATTATTTTAATTTGAGAGGTTCTACGTCACTCTACTCTATCACTATATTTCAACAAACATCGTGAGAGAAAAGACGTCAGAGAGAACATTGAGGCATTGTGACCAAAATTAATCAAATGTAATGGCATTTAATTTAGATGGCAGGTCTGCCCTACTGTTATGTGTGATTCCTGAGTGTGGTCCTCAACAGATAAAACTGCAATTATGTGATCCTTTATTTAACAGAGCAGTTTTTTCATTTAATCCTTGAATGACGTATTCTGACCAGACATTCTTATACTAACATTTTCTTTCCTCCGTTAATATCATTGATGGTTAACTTTATATAATCCTTATTTTTAATAGGTCAGATGAATACTCCAGATGAAGTTTGTGAAATTCTACATGAGACCGGATTTCGTTTCCGAAAATATCCTCATTTAGATGTGAGTTGTTTACTGAAGAAGACAATATTCATCAAAACGGAAGACGCATGTCAGAACAGAAAATTAAAGTCTTACCAAACAAACCTACATCAATTCATATAATCATCCAATCATACCGACCTACATTGTACACGGTATTAATGTCGCCACAAGCCTAGCTTGGCGAAATCGTCATTGCAAAGGCAAAATTACAAATGGACGGAATAGATTTAATTACTTATCAATTATATATACAGATGATAAATGCGTTCTTTAAACTGCCTTTTAATAACCTATCATTGCACAAATATGTTAAAGTGTAAACAAGTGTTTATTGTATCGCCGCGTTTGTAATGGCAATAATGGCAATATTGACCATACTTCACGTCAGCAATTGTATACACTGTCTGGTGTAGCCAGGTGTCCGCAGCGGGATGATCATGTTTCGTTTGCGTTTTCCTTTGAAGTAGCTTACAATTATTTGTTTATCTACGCGTCTGCATTGTGGTAACAATGATTATAACAATCACACACATTGTAGGTAGTGTTTACCTGAGCCATGGAATGTTCATTTTTAAATGTGTATTACTGTTTTCAAAATTATTAATAAAACGCTGCATTTCGCAAAATTTCATGGCTTTTCAATTTTTGTTTTCTACAACCTATCATTCAATGTTTTGTTTCAGGTGTGCCAATTGTTTACCTGTGTGGATATGAATAAAGGTCCGCTGTACGGTCGTATGTTTAAACACAACAACAACATCCCAGGGCAATATTGTGATGACGGAAAGGTATATACTCTAAATATATCAAGATTTCAATTGCGGCCCATGTTTGTTACCGATCTTAGGGCTTTCTTTCGTTCGATGTCATTTGTGTTGCCTGAATGTTGGCATAACTTCTCAATATGACGTAGATAGCATAGCTCTATTCCATCATTTTACAATGTAAATATGTATGATATCAAAATATCTTTTTTTTTTATATATAGTGTCAGTTTGTGGTTAGAATATTATAACCTTAATTTGCAAAATAATATTATCTGGGTATTCAATATATAATAAGATTAAATATTTAGAATCTGGTTATTCAAATAATACTTTAATTTATCTGGCCAGTTATCTGCGAAATAATGTTTTGAAAATGTTTAATAAAATAGCGATATTCGTGCAGTTTTGTTCTCAGTTTTATAGATGTTGATACATAACTGATAACAAAATGCGTTTTGATTTATGGTAGAGATTTACAATTTTCGTAGATATGTTTTAAAAACGGGTGTAACACGTGGGACCATGCCAAAGAGTACAACTTGACAGTGCAAGCTGGTGGTTGGTCACAGTGGAGCGCGTGGGTACCGTGTACACGCACGTGCGGTACCGGACTAACGTATCGGACACGTAGCTGCACAAACCCACCGTATGTATACACGTGAAGAAACAATATATATATCTGTTAACATAAGATTACAGTCTGACGTTATAGGGAAAAATTTATCGGTTTTTTTAAACTGTGTTAGAAGTTTCTTAATTCGTATATACTAACTGCTTTTTAAAATTTATCAGTTTTGTTTGTTTTGTTTTTTTACAGCATCACGATTACACAAAATGAGTTAGAGGATATTCTTGTTCTCTTGATTAATAATAGGTATATTTAACGAGTTGGTGAATATTTTGATATTTTGTACAAATGCAAAGCACGAGAGGATGAAAAAAAGCAATCAACAATTGAAATATTGTTGTGGTCCATCTGGACAACAGTTATTCTGTTTATTGTGACTTTTCTTAATGAAGACATAGACATATCATAACAAATAGTCCCAAACTTTTGAAAACAAACATTGCTAAATTAAAAAAATGTAAGAGCTATTGTGAAGCCACAAGCGAAAATGACCATTGTTATTTTTGTAACAAAAATAGTAATTGTTTAGAAATAGAAAAAGATCAACTTTATTTGACTGTAAAGCCTTAATTTCAATGGTTAAATTAAACAAGAAGATATATCAATCCCTTTATTATCAGTCTTTTCATTTTTCAATTATTATATGTCAAATTTTGTTTCTTTTCAGTGGTCTTGTTATTCAATAGTATCTATTCTTATTGACATTGTTACTATTCAGGAGTATCTATTCTTATTGTCATTGTTACTATTCAGGAGTATCTATTCTTATTGTCATTGTTACTATTCAGGAGTATCTATTCTTATTGTCATTGTTACTATTCAGGAGTATCTATTCTTATTGACATTGTTACTATTCAGTAGTATATATTCTTAGTGACATTGTTACTATTCATTAGTATCTATTCTTAGTGACATTGTTGCTATTCAGTAGTATCTATTCTTAGTGCCATTGTTACTATTCAGTAGTATCTATTCTTATTGACATTGTTACTTTTCAGCAGTATCTATTCTTAGTGACATTGTTCCTATTTAGTAGTATCGTGTCTTCAGTAACATTGTTACTATTCAGTAGTATCTAATCTTAGTGACATTGTTACTATTCAGCAGTATCTATTGACATTGTTACTATTCAGAAGTATCTGTTCTAAGTGACATTGTTACTATTCAGTAGTATCGATTCTTAGTGACATTTTTTCTATTTAGTAGTATCTACTCTAAGTGACATTGTTACTATTCAGTAGCATCTATTCCTAGTGACATTGTTACTATTCAGTAGGTAGCATCTATTCTTAGTGACATTGTTACTATTCTTAGTGACATTGTTACTATTCATTAGTATCTATTCTAAGTGACATTGTTACTATTCAGTAGCATCTTTTCTTAGTGACATTGTTACTATTCAGAAGTATCTGTTCTAAGAGACATTGTTACTATTCAGTAGTATCTCTTCTTATTGACATTGTTGCTATTCAGGAGTATCTATTCTTATTGTCATTGTTACTATTCAGGAGTATCTATTCTTATTGACATTGTTACTATTCAGAAGTATCTATTCTTAGTGACATTGTTAATATTCAGTAGTATCTATTCTTAGTGCCATTGTTACTATTCAGTAGTATCTATTATTATTGACATTGTTACTATTCAGTACTATCTATTCTTATTGACATTGTTACTTTTCAGCAGTATCTATTCTTAGTGACATTGTTGCTATTCAGTAGTATATATTCTTAGTGACATTGTTACTATTCAGTAGGTAGCATCTATTCTTAGTGACATTGTTACTATGTAGTAGTATTTATTCTTAGTGACATTGTTACTATTCAGAAGCATCTATTCTTAGTGACATTGTTACTGTTCAGTAGTATCTATTCTTATTGACATTGTTACTATTCAGAAGTATCTATTCTTAGTGACATTTTTACTATTCAGTAGTATCTATTCTTATTGACATTGTTACTTTTCAGCAGTATCTATTCTTAGTGACATTTTTACTATTCAGTAGTATCTATTCTTATTGACATTGTTACTTTTCAGCAGTATCTATTCTTAGTGACATTGTTAATATTCAGTAGTATCTATTCTTAGTGACATTGTTACTATTCAGAAGTATCTATTCTTAGTGACATTGTTACAATTCAGAAGTATCTATTCTTAGTGACATTGTTACTATTCAGTAGTATTTAATCTTAGTGACATTGTTACTATTCAGGAGCATCTATTCTTAGTGACATTGTTACTATTCAGTAGTATCTATTATTATTGACATTGTTACTATTCAGTACTATCTATTCTTATTGACATTGTTACTATTCAGTAGTATCTATTCTTATTGACATTGTTACTATTCAGAGGTATCTATTCTAAGTGACATTGTTACTATTCAGTAGTATCTATTCTTAGTGACATTGTTACTATGTAGTAGTTTTTATTCTAAGTGACATTGTTACTATTCAGTAGCATCTATTCTTAGTGACATTGTTACTAAGAATAGATGCTACTGAATAGTAACAATGTCCCTTAGAATAAAAACTACTACATAGTAACAATGTCACGAAGAATAGATACTACTGAATAGTAACAATGTCAATAAGAATAGATAGTACTGAATAGTAACAATGTCAATAATAATAGATACTACTGAATAGTAACAATGTCACTGAGAATAAATACTACTGAATAGTAACAATGTCACTATTCAGTAGCATCTATTCCTAGTGACATTGTTACTATTCAGTAGTATCGTGTCTTCAGTAACATTGTTACTATTCAGGAGTATATATTCTTAGTGACATTGTTACTATTCAGTAGTATCTAATCTTAGTGACATTGTTACTATTCAGTAGTATATATTCTTAGTGACATTGTTACTATTCAGTAGCATCTATTCCTAGTGACATTGTTACTATTCAGTAGTATCTATTATTATTGACATTGATACTATTCAGTACTATCTATTCTTAGTGACATTGTTACTATTCAGTAGTATCTATTCTTACTGACATTGTTACTATTCAGAAGTATCTGTTCTAAGTGACATTGTTACTATTCAGTAGCATCTATTCTTAGTGACATTGTTACTATTGAGTAGTATATATTCTTAGTGACATTGTTACTATTGAGTAGTATATATTCTTAGTGACATTGTTTCTATTCAGTAGTTTTTTTTCTTAGTGACATTGTTACTATTCAGGAGCATCTATTCTTAGTGACATTGTTACTATGTAGTAGTATTTATTCTTAGTGACATTGTTACTATTGAGTAGTATATATTCTTAGTGACATTGTTACTATTTAGTAGTATCGTGTCTTCAGTTACATTGTTACTATTCTTCTTAGTGACATTGTTACTATTCAGGAGCATCTATTCTTAGTGACATTGTTACTATGTAGTAGTATTTATTCTTAGTGACATTGTTACTATTACTATTCAGTAGTATCTATTCTTATTGACATTGTTACTATTCAGTAGTATCTATTCTTAGTGACATTGTTACTATTCAGTAGTATCTATTTATTAGTGACATTGTTACTATTCAGTAGTATCGTGTCTTCAGTTACATTGTTACTATTCGGAAGTATCTATTTTTCAGTGACATTGTTACTTTTCAGTAGTAGATTTTTTTGTAAATATTTTTCATGTCTTATTTATCTACAATTTGATATCATTTTTAAAATGCATGTTAAAACTTTTTTTGTTTGTAGTCAAACCTGTTCAACGGAACATCTCTTTTTAGAGATACCGCTTTTCAAACACTTCATATTTAGTAACGTTGCCTGTATCAGAAGAACTACTAAAATAAAGTACCACTTCATTGACTTCCTAATAGTGGTCCCTGAATTAAGGTTTGAATGTATTGAAGATTTGATCTTTTTTGATTTTTTGATTCCAGTTAAAATAATTCTCTTAATTTAGACCGAAGAATCACGCAACTTGTGTGGGAAATTCTTATCAAGCATCAACTTGCAGCACAAGAGTAGGTATTTTCGATGTTTTAAAGTATGAAATTAATTTGTTTTCTTATATATGAATAACAAAACACTAGTATCATTAGTAATTGGAATTATGTTTTAACTTTAAAACTTGTATGCCAAATTTATTTTCTTCCAATCACATCATTCTTTTTATATATAAAAAGCGTTGAAACATGTTCAGAAAACAAAATGACTGCACAAATGATACATGAGAAAAGGAAATATTACAATATATAAATGAACATTTGAGCTCCATTTTGATGCTACCTAAACATTAACATTTTGAAATAATTAATGTATAGAAAATAACCAGCGTGACATCATTCAAATCGATGTTGTAGCCCTGTGACGGTGATAGTGAAAACAAACCTACTTTGATCAAGCAGCGGGCCTCGGAGACATGTTCTCGCCTTATAGCAGCTGGGCACATCAACGGATCATTACACCAGCCGACCGGGGTCAGATATAACAATGAGGCAGGTGAGGTGTTACTAGATGTTCCATAAAATCTAAATCAGCATCTTTTTCTAATATGAAGTCGATGTAAATGATTGAGCAAAACAGTATAACTGTAATATTTAAAACGTAAGACGCCGCCACTAGCTACATCAACTTTGAGGTGTCGGCATCACAAACCGATCTTACCACGTCCAATATCTCCATGTATGGAGAATAGTTATTACAGATAAAGATTTTAACAATAAATAACTATAATAATATGTCAGCACTATTTGTAGAGACATTTCTAACTCCAGTGCTTGGTCAGTGTGAAGTCCAGTGTGACCCTGTAAGCGGATACAAGGTGCCAAGTTTCACGAGGTTTGGTCTCATGCCGGACGGAACGCCATGTGACACGACGGCTGAAAACACTTGGGACAAAGATAACTGGCCTAGGAGATCGGGCATGCATGGTCGCTGCCTACAGGGATTTTGTACCGTAAGTCAAACAGAGGGTTAAGATGCATTGTTTTAGAATATACCTATGATGTTTGTTATTAAGGAACAGGAACTGTGTTGTATTGTTTTTTTTATATATCACAGTAATTAAGGATAAGCGTTTCCTACTCTCGAATTGTAATGTGTCATGGTGTATGGCAAAATCATTACCAGCGTCCGAATGAAACATGAGTTTTAATACTGGAGCGGCGGCAGTGTGTGTTGGAAATCTGAACAACGTATTAACGAATAGTTGATGTTCATCTCGCTCAATCCTTCTAGAAATTTTTAATCAAATGCTATAAATAGGTTTTTGAAAGCAAAAATGAAGAACAAAAACTTTTTTTTTCATTTTTTACAGAACAGAATGACATTCTCCCAAACGCTTTATATACACTTTAGGTTGAAGAGATTGGAAACTTTTTATCGCTCAATTAATACACGAAGGGAAGACAAAGGAAATCAAATTTACCTTTGTCTTTGATCGTTGGTGACAGACAATCTTTCTAGGATTTGACAGTTTAGCTATATTTGGTCCTTAACTGATGTGTTTAACGTCATATTAGACGTTTTAAGGCCTTACGTCAACAAAGCGCAAACCAAATGATGTTATAAACGGGAATAGAATGAAAGCTCTCGAATTCGAAGAATGGACCCCAACGAACATCCTCACATCAAAAATGTGCCAAAAATCACATTTTTGATGCATGTACAAACAGATGTTTGGAACCGTTGGATATAAAAAAAAATCACAAAGCTCTTTTTCCACTTAAAATGTGTTCTCCTTCCACAGACATGATCTCCCTTTCCCCAAAAAACATAAGCCATTTCGATCTTTCAAAGTTGTTTCGTACAGTGCTGTTCTTGTTTCCTATCTATTATTTGAAATGATATTGCGTCACCGAATGTTGACACCTGTTTGAATTTCCTTTATATTACATAAACTTTACTGACAGAAATTTGACTGTGAAGGCAAGACGGGCAACAAGGTATTTGATGCGTGTGGTGTTTGTGGAGGGGACAATTCAACGTGCCATTATTATGGCGGCGTATATACGGACGTCTTGGCCAAGGGTAGGTATAAATAATAGTTCCTATTCTGGTGAACAAGCAAAAAAATGCCTTAGAAGAAATAAATATTTATCATAGACAATATTACATTAAAACGAGTTGTGAATTTTTTAATGTACCATTGTGCTAATTTTACGGCACAGATTGTATTGAGACTTGTATATTGCTGTTCATAATGCGTATTCCGTCTTTGCGTATTGCAGAGTTATCTTCTCTTGGGAGCAGGTATTGATTGTTACGTCACTTGTTTGTGACAGTAACGTCATCAATTTTTGAGAAAACGACGTCATTTTCTCACGCAAACCAATGACGTAAAAATCAATACCTGCTCCCAAGAGAAGATAACTCTGCAATACGCAAAGACGGAATATCTGGAAGATTAAAAGCTGTGACAGTGGATGAAGAAAGTTGTTTGTAAATGTTTCATTTTACCATGTTCAATTTTGTATATTTATATGGAAGCATAAAATAAAGAAAACTTACTGTTTCGAAACTTTGGAACAGTCATTGATAATGGGAATAAAATGCTTGTTTGAGTCTATGCGCTTTGCATTAAGTCATTGTATAACATAATGTTTATCATCCCTTTGTGTTTTTGTTTGAATAGAACGCTAATCTTATTCCTAATATTCTTTAAAGAAATATCAATAAACTTGTTTAAAGTTGTACTACAACATTAATCCTGTGTTCACGTTTATCACTTTATTTTACTGTATTAATCCAATTTTTTTTCATTCACATCATTCATAACCGATGACACGTTTTTTCCCTAAATGTATCAAACATTTCGTACGACTTATTTAAGTATATAATCCGTTTTTAATTGAAGGTGATCGAGAGACAATTGCTGTCCTGCCGACTGGAGCCTATAACATTCAGTTCTGGGTGGAGTATACCCACACACATCAAACCTTCGTGGGTATGAACAAGTTATATATGTATGATTACTCACCCCCTATGATACATCGGACATTTTGGGGTATTATTCATCTACACATGAAGACTTTTTCGCCAAAATCATATATTCGGGAGTATAATATAGCTATATATCAAGACGTTCTCCCCCTAAAACACATCGGTGATTCGGGGGTATTATTCCGATAACTGTTAAGACTTTCTTGGCTTCTTGTCTTAAGACACATCTGGAGTATTCGGCAGTATTATATAGCTACATATGAAGACTTTCTCGCCCTAAAACACATTAGAGATTTTAGGGTATTGTTGCGGTTCCTATGAAAACTTTCTTGCCAACTTGCCTTAAGAGCATGTCTTCCATAAAACCATGCAAAATCGTCCAGATGCAATATTCTCCAAATTGATTCATAATTGGCACACATGTTGCTTATGGTAAAATAACTTCACATGCAAATTTTTTCAAAAATATTGAGCCACTTGGATTTTATGTTACAAAATCTAAAAATAGATTATTGCATAGAAAGTTATCTCATTTTCAAGACAGATTAAGGCATTTTGAACGGATTTTTTTACTTACAGTTACTTAGTAACTGTTATTCATACATTAATTACTTAAAAGATCATCTTTTACCTGGGAAAATATAATGAAACATTAATGGTATAAGCTTTAATAGTCATCAAATATTCTATCTCAATATGACACATATTCAAAAATTGCTGACTCAGCAAAATTTACCACATTTCTACAGCTCAGAAACTCTAAGGTAGGTATTTTTTTCAATGAAACCATTTTTTTAGTAAAACTTGGTCATTAAACTAAAAAATCTAAAAAATCCAGTGACGGCAAATAATCACAGGATGTGAAATCAATAAGTCAAAAAGGGATATTTATGAAATTTTGTTGTTTTCAGTATATTTTAGCAGGCTTTTCACTCTGGTATGCTCTAAGATGTACTGTTGTGTCCTTACCACAGTCATAAATGTTATATAAAACAGTGGTGTCTTGGTATCTATTTGATTTTTCACATAGTATATGAGAAAAATTGGGGAAATCACATTTAGCCATGATCGTCTGCAGTCTGACATTTCTTTCATTTGTTGTTGTCTGGTAGCAGTGTACAGTAGCGTACGGTGGCCATGGGTGATATTTTTATACAATTAATAACCCCTGTAATATAACATGTATCAAAATAAAAAATAAAAAATCAGCACTAAAATTGGCATATACATGATGAAGTGGGTTTCATAATTTTTCAAAAATAAAATCGAATTTGGTTTGAGACTACAGTTTTGGACATTTACAAATCTGTGTCTACACAACAAAAGCTAGCTTTTCATGTAGTCTATTTTTGTACTCAGCACATGTGTAAATATTGTGAAAAATCCACCGGAATGACCTATGCTAAGACGTGAGTATTTTTGTTACCGAGTAGGCGATATTTAATTTCAGACAGGTTTTAAGTAAAACAATTCTATTTGCGGGTTCAAATTTTGGGTTAAAAATCATGATTTTTTGCATATTTTTTTTTTTTTTTATGTGTTTACCATGGTTTTCACAAGTCTCAAATCTGGGGAAAACAGTTTTTGAAAAAAGATTCAGTCTTCTAAACAAAATGAAATCAAAATGTAGTTTATAAATATGTATATATATGTAGGTGTGTTGTGCAGGTTGAATTCACTATCCATGTTTATGTGACACATGCCCTTTATATTTAGGGTCAAGCCATTTCTACTGTACACTGCTACCTCTGCACCACTGTATTTGAAGAGTTCCGGAAAGGGAAATAACTCTTTTGGAAAGCACTCAAATACTGTTGCTCATTTCTTTTCTTATAATACACTGTTTTTTTACAAATGTTTTTTTAGATACCACATCTTATTTTACCTTTACATTTGAATTATTCTTTATACTTTCTTATTAAATGTATTCCTAAATAAAGTTTTTTAAGCATGAAATTCCAAATACCACACCATTGCAACATCAAATGGATCAATAAAATACCAATTATGTCTGAAGAATCAAATCAATAACACATTTATTTTTTAAAGAACATAAACTTATTTTAAAGCCCGATATTTTTTTATTATTTGAACTGTAAGAAAGTCAAAATTGTGACATTACATCCTTTTTAAGTTACAAATAAAGGTGAAATTTCAGTGCAAATGTATGCACATTTCATCCATAAATTGCTATATTGAATTAAATTTGCCATCACTTTTTTTTATAGTATTTACTTTAATAACTTATCTTTTTTAAGCAGTTAATTCCATTCATTTGTATTACCCACCTTAAGAGATTTTGCTAAAAGTAGTCGCACACAAGTTCCCCTTTATTTTATTTTTTCAAATTTTAATTTATAAAAGTTCTGCAAACAATCATTTAACTCTTCAATTATATTTGAACAATTAGTCTTGAGTTTGACTTATTTTTCCAAGGTACTTTTATTACCATGTTTTTTTCTCAATTTTTGACAAGTTCAATTGAGATTTTCAACTTATTCGTATATCAACTGTTACTAAAAATAGATACATAATTTATGATTTTTTATTGATTATTTCTAACTCTGATATGTTATCATTTACAGTAAACAAACTGTTTGCGTTATATTAGAAACACCCATCTGGACGTTTTTTTCCCCATTTTGCATGGTTTCATGGAAGACGTGCTCTTAAGACACACAAGCGATTTCGATGTATAATATAGCTACATATGAGACTTTCTCGCCCAAAGACACATTACAGTCGGGGGAGAGAGCATCCATATTATCCCACATACCTTTATAATCGTGTAGTCTTTTTCTCACCTTTCACCCGATGTGTTGGTAAAAGTTGACGCTGACATTCAAATGCAACAATTTGAATAAGGTAGATATTCTCAATTACGTTTAAATCAACCAAGAAATTATTTGGGAACGGAAGAAATAATGGTGTACCAGAGGCCGTATACAAAAAAACTTCACAGAAAGGTTAATGATATTAGCCGACACGGTAATCAATATTTTACTACCAACGATTTATTTAATGCAGTTCCTTGTTTAAAACATAGTCAAATGTAGTTCCCGTACTGAAGGATGTCTTGCGCGTCTATTTTGCAGGATTTTTTTCTCGTCCATGCTAATGCTACATACAATCGGGAACCAATCTATGTTAACTCTCTTTCCAAAAATGGAGCTCCGATTTTGTTGAAGCTTTTTGTAATGTCAGTGTACATTTTTATCAAAATCGCGTGTACAATGTCTGAACAAAATACCCTAAAAAGTTGCAAGCATATTCCAACCATATCTACGTGTTTATGTAACATATAAATTCGTTGTAGAGATCTGGAGTAAGGACGGACTGCCTGTCCTAGCCAGCTATGTTGTCAGTAGTTGGATATTCAATGACCTGGCTAATCCGGTCGAATTCGACGGCACGTACTGGTATTTCCTCTTTTATAGACAGTACTTGTACACGAAAGGCCCAATAACATCACCGGCTATCATAAAGGTATATGTCATGTTGATACGGATACTTTACAACATTCAGTTGATTTTATACACATCTAGTAGTGATTGCTCTTCATAGCTTCCGTTGTTTTGTGGATGTTTCCTGTTGTCTTTATTTCTTTACATCTCCTTAGTTAATGTTGATTATTTTGTATTGATTAAGAATGGAGATTTTGTCTTTTTGTATCAAAAATTGAAGAGCATAATCTTATTATTAAACGGCATATGATAGTTTTATTCACAAACATATTCCATGATGCATGATAGCGTATCTTACGGAATTGTTTGTAAGAATCTTGGTTGCATACCTTCAAACATGTTCTGAAAATGCATGCAATCCCTTATATTTTATCAGCAATGAAAAGTTTAAGACCTGGTCCATTCTGAAGACGTTTTTTAAAAACAAATGGTTTCCCCGAAGATCATAAGATGACTTGACTGATCAACTTTATTAGACTCTGCTTAACAGGGAAAGACCCGCATAGTTTTTAGTTTGACAAACGTTAGGTTTCTTAGCCTTTAGTTAAAACAAATGAATAGGTTGGTATAGTTGGAACATCTATATTCCTAAGTGATTCTCGGTTTTATGTACAATATAATACGCCAGTTGACTAAATCAACCACTCTGGAGACAACGTTAGTAATAACTGGGGTTCACCTAGCTAACTTGAAACTTAAACATTCTACCTAATTCCCAGGCGTTCCAGCACCTGTCAAACCACACAACGGGAATCCATTACGCCTACTCTGTACCACTATCAGGTAATGTATATTTCAAATCCGGGAAAATTTTGTAAATATACTTCAATATAACTTACTTTGTTCTAAGCTAGATATTTGAACATAATTGTTGAAGACGTATTTTTAAATTCTTCAACTAAATTGATATACAATCAATTAAATATGAGTTTATTCTTGAACCCTTTCATTCCTCTCATATTTAGTTTAAACACATTTTTGAAATCATATATCGTTAACACCAGTTATATTAATTTCCATAGTTAAAATCTCCATTGTAAATCAACGCTTTGAGATTTATTATATTACTGCTAAATACTAATAAACAAATAATGTTGTATTGACTGTAGATTGATATAATGATAGAATAGCGTTCAGTGTTGTTTTTAATAAATGCATTGTGGCATACTGTGTGTATGGCTATAATTCATATAAACTATGAAATAATCTATAGATTAATCATATAATCTATCAAATAATCTATATAGTAATCATATAATTTATGAAACAATCTATATATTTTAGTGTCGTCCTGTTCAAATGTGTGTCAGAATGGCGGGGCCTGGAACCAAACCCTCTGTTCCTGTGATTGCCCCAGCCACTTTTACGGTAACATTCAAATGCATTGCTCCAATTGCATTTGTTTGAAATAGGTCGTACTTGAGATTTATAAAACAAAACAGCTTCATTATCATAATCCGGTTTAGCGATGCATCCAGTGATACAAATGCGATTTGTTGTAAGATTAACCCTTTTACAAATGGTATAATCAGCATAAGATAATAAAATCGAGATCTCGAAAGTGATGTCAAATAACACACTATTGTGTAGCTGTCAAACGTCAAAAGGATACGCAAGTTGCAGTATGTATAATTTTTATATTCTTCGGTCACTTTCATTAATGATCAGTCCCTACTGATCTCGAGTGTAAGTCTCAATAAGTTGCAGTTTCCTGTAATTTTGAGCCTTACATGATTAATGTCAACATTAAACCAATATTTTCAAAAGAAATGAAATAAAAAGAGAAAGAGAAGGCATTAATTTATGATATTGATATGTTTAAGGACCCACGTGCAGCAGCAGATGTAACAAGTACTGTTTGAACGGCGCGCCTCTGGATGAGCGCACGTGTCACTGCACGTGTAATGAGCGTCAAACTGGTGGGACTTGTCACTGTAAACCTCTTTATTCCGGCAAGGAGTGCAGGAGCTGTGTCACCATGCTTGATTGTACAACACATGGAAGTTTCAACATGGACACGTGTCAGTGTGAATGCCAGCCTGGATACACGGGAAATACGTGTGAAACTGATGGTATATTACTGAAGGGACACGCATTCTCTTGATTTGTTTCTTTATTTGTTTTTATGTTTTATGTTTGTGTTGAAGTTAATAAGGTCTTTTTGCTTGATACTTTTTCGCTATGTTACTTTCGTTTCTGAATTTTAGAAAAAGAAATGCAACTCGACTAACTTTTATTAAGAATTTTCCTATGTTTTATAGCATCCTTTCGAATGCTTAATAATCTTGCTTTGATATAAAAGTATAGAAAAACAGAAAAAATGACTGACACTTCACCTTTTTGTCGGTTCTAGAAGGTTCGTTTAAACTAAATTATTGATTAAATAGATTAAAAGTCGATTTTTATAAGGATCCATTATCATTGGTCATACTTTTTGAGATAAAGAACATAACTTATTCTCTGTACATTTGATACCTAACTTGTCCATACATCTTTCTGTTACAGAAAATCATGCTGGACATCTTGTTGGCTGAGATGCTATCATACCAAATGGGCAATATGTTACAGTTTACTTTTCATGGTAGAGGTACTGACTTATAAGGAAAAGCACTTGTGAGATGCATATGTCTGTTGCAAAACGTTGCATTTTAATATGTTGGGTTTAATTAATAAAAAAACATTTTCCAATGATATTTTGGGTTTTTTCCGTTTTTAGGAGGCATGAAAATTGAGGGGGGAAATGAACAAAAGGGAATTGTTTTAGATAATTTATAAATAGAAAATACATGTATTCTTAGATTTCGTAAGTTTTTAGAATATTTGTTTATTGAAATAAAGATAAGACATTAAGAATTAAAAAAGTATGTGAGAGATGTAGGTTGTCACACAAATTATATTTGCACAATCAGTATTGGTTTACAAGTATTTGATACTCTTTATATGTACCGCAGTATATGTTGAATGTTTTGAAATACTTTCAAAAATTAATGAAATATACGTAACAATTGTACGGATGTCATGGACATGAAAGATGGTACGATGTTTATTGAACAAGAACAAGGGAGATAAATCGGCCGACCATGTAGCTTTACATTCTTCAGACATCCTTATTAGGAAGAATTTCGGGAACTAGTGAAATTTCATTTATTTCATTAACTAAACACAAAGTAACGTGATTACTGTAACATGTCATTAATGGGGCAGAATTCTGATGTTAAGGATCAAGTCTCTGCCCAGCAGCATGAGAAAGCGAAACAGAGACACTACAACTGTGATCGGAGGCTACATCACATACAGAAGATCACTTTAGGAACACCTAATTGAGATTATTTTGATTACATTTAAGCAAAGATTTTATATAATTGACCATTCATTTTTTCATTATGACAACCCCTATTTCGTTCTATATTACAGTTTTATATAATGTCATTAAATCATCATTTGTCGATAAATGGAACATCGCTCCATAATTGTGAATGTTGTGTTGTTTACCTTTCTTCTGGTGAAATAATTAGTTCTTTAACTGACAGCCTATTTGACGAAAAGAAGATTTAATTCTTGTATGCATTTTTCTGAGATGAACATGAGAAAGCATATGTCTGAAATGTTTCGAAACATATTTAGAAATGTAGCAAAAGCCAAAAGGTCCGAAACAGGCGCAAGGTACCTATAAAACATACCGGCCTTCTACTTTATCAGTTTACATGCCATTGCTAATTCACCACTCCAGAATATTATCAAGATTTTGTGGCCATATGTGTTTACACCGTGTTGTTAAAACGACATATCAAGATGTACAGAATACGGTAAATATTTCAATGATATAAGTGTGTACATTAAGCTAATCCATTGACTTTCTTGTTCAAAATACTACTGCATGACTGTGTGGTACATAAGTTTGATGACAAAAGAATGTGTACATTATGCAAGATCGATATGACTGAAAATGTAACAATGTAAGTTCTAGGACATTGGAAAATGAACACCATTTGACATATAAAAGAGTAGGGTGTTTGTTCTATGAAATAAGAAAGTGTACAGTGAGTTAATTATATGACATATGACAGTCTGTCATTATGTTAGTCCTATACCATAAGACAGTTTACGTATATTAGTTTTATGTCATATGAAACTTTACAGCAAGTTCGCCCGTTGATATATGAAATTGTACAATTTGTCAGATTTATGACCAAAGGCAGTGAACTAGAGGTTAGTTCTATGACATAAGAAAATGTTCATCATATTAGTTCTATGACATCAAAAAGTGTATGCCATGATAGTTCTGACATAGGAAAGTGTATGTCATGATAGTTCTATGACATAAGACAGTGAACTAGAGGTTATTTCTATGACATAAGAAAGTGTACAACATATAAGTTCTATGACATAAGAAAGGGAACACCATGTTAGTTCTTTAAAATAAGAAAGTGTACTCCATGATAGTGCTACGACATAATAAAGTGTACACCATGATACTTCTATGACATAAGAAAATGTAATCCATGTTAGTTCTATAACATAAGAAAGTGTACACCATGTTATTTCTATGACATAAGAAAATGTACACCATGATACTTCTATGACATAAGAAAGTGTACACCATGTTAGTTCTATAACGTAAGAAGGCGTATGCCATGTTAGTTCTATAACGTAAGAAATTGTACACCATGTTAGTTCTATAACATAAGAAAGTGTATGCCATGATAGTTCTATGACATAAGAAATTGTACACCATGTTAGTTTTATGACATAAAAAAGTGTGCACCATGGTGTGTGATTTACACTCATCCTTCTGAAATTTTGTCCGTTTTCATCCTCCTTCTGATCAATCACATCATCAATGCCAGGAAAGGTCTTGTTTGATTAATTTGCAATGTAATTAGTAAAGGTGGATCTACAAAATACAATAGTAAACAAATTTGATGACTTTGTAAACTGAAATAATGTAAAAGAAACCTCAATGTTAACTTTCCTATCACATTGTAACTTACATGTAGCATAATGTCGTACGTGATTTTGGTACATGATCTTACTACATTATATTATCGCCTTACGTGATTTCGGTATATGATCTTACTACATTATATAATCGCCTTACGTGATTTCGGTATATGATAGTACTACATTATATTATCGCCTTACGTGATTTTGGTATATGATCGTACTACATTATATTATCGCCTTACGTGATTTCGGTATATGATCTTACTACATTATATTATCGCCTTACGTGATTTCGGTATATGATAGTACTACATTATATTATCGCCTTACGTGATTTTGGTATATGATAGTACTACATTATATTATCGCCTTACGTGATTTCGGTATATGATCGTACTACATTGTATTATCGCCTTACGTAATTTTTATACATGATAGCACTAGATTATATTATCGCTTACTTCATTTTGGTACATGCTATTTTTGAATGATGCTGTTCTATTTATTGATTTCAATTCAACAGACCCAATGGTCTAATTACAGAATTGATAACAATGATAACAAAAGTATAATAAAGTATCACAGATAAATACAAAGTGTAGCATGCATACAGAAGCATAATAATCATCTGAAACCTACTGCCTTTAGGCGAGACTTAAACGAAGGCAAGGTACAATCAAATATACAGTCAAGCTCACGGGCATTTCTGTTAGAAGTTCTTACTGCACGGTGAATAGTGCTAAATTTTCGGACATTAATCCTACTAGGTGGACAACTAAATTGTAAAATCCTAGCAGAACGTAGAAATTTTCTCGGAACTAAAATACCCAATGTTTTCTACTAAAAACAAACAGTCGAACAGCCAATGAATACATTTAAAAAGGAAGCATATATCCAGATATTGTCGTCTGCTTTCCAAAGAAGGCAGATTAAAATGTTTACGTATATCAGAATAAGAATGTCTATGGAAATTATAATATCCCTTAAATATAAACACTTTCTTTGTACTGATTCTAGCTGGCGTATAAAAGTCGTTTGGTGCGGTGACCAGATATCGCTGCAATAATCCAATTGACTTCTGACTAAAGTTATGTACAATGACCTTATTACTGATACGTTTTTAAAATGTTTACATGAACGTTTTGAAAATCAAAGCATTTGCATACTTTTTGGCACAACGTTTTTAATTTTTGTGAGAGAAGTTAAGAGTATCCGATATCCAGACTCCTAGGTCTTTAACACATGTGGGTGGCCTTCGATAAAAACTCGCCTCCCATCATGTAAGAATACAGAATTGGATTACGTTTCATGGAAAACGTTTTGGAACAACATATTTTAATATTAATTTGCATACTCTATCAATATCATCTAGTTAATGTTCACAGTCAAACAAAGATGTAACTCTTTTACAACATTTGCTATCGTCAGCAAACATAAAACAGGTAGAATGTTTCAAAACTGCAGGTAAGTCATTGATAAAAATCAAAAATAAATTGGGCGCAAATATGGGGACACCGGCAGAAACATTGCACCACCCAGATGCCGCCCCGTTAACAGTCACTGTTTGCTACCTGTCACTGAGATAACTGTTGAGCCGGTTTAAAATGTTACCCCTGATGCCATAAGCGTGAAGTTTATGTAATAATAACTTGTGACTCACTTTGTCAAATGCTTTAGAAAAATCAGTATATACAGCATGGACATCAATCTTTTTATCAACAGCGTCAGACACAAAATCAGTAAAACATGTGAGATTGGTTACTGTAGACTTCGTAGGCCTAAAACCATGTTGCTCATTACAAATTAGAGGGTTTACAAATGATGAGAATTCACAATCAACAAGTTTTTCAAAGAGTTTTGACAATATTGGCAATATTGACACTGGTCTATAATTTGTAACACAGTTTCTCAGACCAGACTTAAATAGTAATATTACATTAGCTTTATTAAAACACTCGGGAAAAATACCATCCCCAAGTGTTTTATTAAACAGGTTACAAACTGGAACATACAGTTCGTGTGCGCATTCCTTAAAACCTATACCAGAGAAATAATATAAATATATATATTATATTTATATTATTTTTTTATATAATTTTATGGGACAAAATTTTGAAATTAACAATGCCCTATTTGGTATTGTTACTTACGTTCTCTCACAGATGTAGTAAAGCTCGTCACTGCAGTTTCTACTTGTGAAATGTGCATCAGCATCGTCCGGACTCAGCGCAAAGCACCCTTGTGATGAACTGTGTTCCATAGAGATCCAGTAAAGGTTCGCTACAGGAACAACAGAGGAGATCACTTTAATTACAATGTTTATCTAAACCTGCACTCGAAAGTCCATAACAAACTTTTATACTTGACCTCGAAAATACATCATTTAATACTATTCCTGTGTACGGATATATATACTGAAAGGAAAAATAGCAATATTGTCTTCAAATGACGTAGATTTTCTTTTATTCAGTGAATATATCGCTGAACTGGCCAGGGTAAGAAAGCATTTCACGCTTGTGACGTCACACTGGACAACAACGATGAGACGTTATGAAGTCGGGAACATTCCGACGCCCCGACTCTGACATAACGACGCCTTTTTTGTGGTTTCAAATCTAATTTTGGTGAATGAATGTGAAAAACACTCACTCATGCCCAGGGGTGTATGAAATGGAAAGTTTACATCCTGCATTTTCAAGTATGTCCAAAAACCTCAGTAAGCCTCGGTTTTTAACACAATTTAAAAAACACTTTAGTGGAATTTCCCTATCCTAGAAGCAATAATGTTCATTTTAAGGTAAAGAATCATTTTGTTATGGGAATTGCATTTGTGAACATTGAATGAACTATCCAATTTGACGTTGACTCAAGGTGGTTCTCGCGAAAAATGGAATTATCGAACCAATCAACAGAGCACGTAACTCCTCCTTTTGAGCATTATTAGCTGCTAGGACACTTTCGTGCATTGAATCCTATAGCGCCAACATTTACGGAGCGACAATGATTGGAGGATTCGGCCAGCATCGTATCCCTCTGTCCAACTAAATATTTTATAAATGTTTTATCGGGTAGAGATCAAGACTGTTTGGGGCCATTCTAGGGTATACTGATTTCTGCCACAAAATAACAGCATTCCCTCGCTACATTTGCGAACACACTTTCTTGAATAAAAACCAGGGCAATCTTGATTCCATCTAAATGTGTACTCCATACCCCCTCAAAATACTCGACTATTCTAGTAGATAACAGGACTCCAAATTGCAAGGAGGAACGTCTTTAGGAATGAGCGTTCAGACTTTGATTAGCCCGGCGCGTCGTTGCCATAGCGACCTTACACAGATGGCGCTCCGACCATTTTGCTATTTTTTGACACTTGCTGTGTTGTCAATATCTTCCAATTCTCTTATTTTATCATAAAAAGTAATTTATGTAGGACGTTTGAATGAATATAACAATTCTTTGAAATTGGCGACTATACTGCTAAATCAACGGTTGCATTACACCATCAAAGATGTGAATGTATTAGTTTTATATGTCTTATCTAATATCTACAAACTTACTGAAACTAGTATTAACAAATGAAACACTGGTGCTGAAATGCGCTGTCATTTTTACTATCAGCTTTTCGTCCGTTTTGGTTAACACGGAAACAAGATCCGCTGAGTCATCAACACATGCAGCCTGTAATGATAAATAAACGTAATTTAATAAACAAAGTATAACAGTTTTCTCTATACATGTTGTAAATAACGTCAGTATTTATATAATGTGTATCTTAACCCCCATTTATCGTAACAAATTCTCAGTTTAGAAGTTTTTCCTTTTTTCCTTTTTGCTTGTGGTAATATTTTCAATTATTTTTTAATCAAAAGTGGACAAAAGTTTAAAAAGTATCATTTGAAGACTTCTAGTGCTGGCTGACTTTATATTTAAACCATAATTTCTCTATCCCTTTGTAGTGCAATATAGAGAAAGTACAACAAGAGGCCCAGAGGGCCTGTATCACTCACCTAGATAATAAAGCAACCATGGGAAATTATTCTTATTACATAAAATCCCTCCAATGGTACAGAAGAAGAAAGAATTCAAAGATTTAAACCTCGAAGTTCCCTATTTGGCCCCGCAACTCTCAGCAACCTGAGGAACCTCACACTCGAGGCTAGATCGGGAAAAAATCCCTAAGGATCTCAAAGGTTTTCACCTTGATTTCCCCTATTGGGCCCCGCAACTCTGCCAAAAGGAAGTCCAAACCCAGAGTTGCGGGGCCCAATAGGGGAAAGAAAAAATTGGAATGAAATCCCTTGATTCCTATTGTGGAAGGATTTTAATTGTTTACCTCTATTTCCCTATGTGGCCCCATCCCTCTGCCCCCATGGGGGCCATACATACCGTTTATACAAAATTAAGTTCCCTTGGCCCAAGGATGCTCCAGACCAAATCAGGATAAAATCCCTTAATCCCTACGGGAGAAGAAGGATTTCAAATGTCTTTACCTCTATTTCCATATGTGGCCCCATCCCTCTGCCCCCATGGGGGCCATACATACCGTTTATACAAAATTAAGTCCCCTTGGCCCAAGGATGCTCCAGACCAAATCAGGATAAAATCCCTTAATCCCTACGGGAGAAGAAGGATTTCAAATGTCTTTACCTCTATTTCCCATATTTGGCCCCATCCCTCTGCCCCCAGGGGGGCTACACCCACCGTTTATACAAAATTAAGTCCCCTTTGCCGAAGGATGCTTATGACAAAATTAGGATAAAATCCCTTAGTCCTTACGATAGAAGAAGGATTTTAAAGGCTTCGCCTCTATTTTCCCTATTATTGGGCCCAGGCAGGACAAGTAGCGTCTTAAAGGAAAAGTTGACGGACGGACGGACGACAGACGCTGCGGTATGGCATAACCTAAGCATGGTCCTTCGGACCAGGTGAGCTAATACAAATTCGAAATATGCAACTTTCATCAAATGACCTATCACAGCGTCAACATACCAGAACAAATCGGAACTCATATCCCATATTCGATAAGAAAGTAAAACAACAGGGAAAAGGAGAAATCCGTACAAAACAAAAGACAAAAAGACCATCTGTTTCTCCCATAAAAAGTCGGAGGTGAAGTTGATCGACATTAACACTAAAGCTGAAATAAAACATTCTATTTGCTATTTTTCCGACAAGGTTTCTTTCTACACCAAAAAATAAGGTACCTGTGCGTCCGATTGTTGCTTTTGTGGTGACTTTATCTGTATACATCTGCCTTCGAATGGCACCCACCTTCCTTTGCACAGTGTCCATGTGAAATCTGGTGAAGAACGCATGCCATGTAATGTATCGTTAATCAAAAAGAATAGGAAATATACACCAAGTGATAACTGAGATACAATGATAAAAAGTAAACAATTATAGTATCGCTGATAGATTTATATCACGAAATACATAATTGTTCATGTTATCTATTTTCTGCTGACTAAAGAATCGAGACGGATTATTTATGTCCTTCGTTGCTGCATCCTATAATGGTCTCTTGACATCTGTTCTTCCATTAATTCAAGTTTGTAAATATCGATTATCATATACTACATTTCCTCTTCTCGTCCAGTATTTTTTGGGCAAGTTTAGCTGCTAATATTTGACATTCTTGGAATTTAGTTAAGGTTTTCCTAACTTTCACCTTTTTTTAAATTTATTTGGCAGAATTTCACATCAAACGATGTAATATACAAAAAAAAATGTTTTGTAATCTTAAATGACATTTTTATATACATTTCGATATAAATGTAACATAAAACAGCTGTAATTAATGGATAATGTTTCTGTCCAGTTTCAAATTAAATTCTAGCTGTTGCATGACTGAAGCTATGGCCAAGATATACCTACTAAAAATATCAAAAGCAATGAAAGTCTGCACAATGTTATTCTATTTGATAGTATTGTGAATTAACACCTCTTGGTTAGTTTTGTTAACAATATAAAGCTGAAAACGAGTTGAAAGTTTTGTTTAAAATCTCTTGTATCACTCTGGTGGCTGCATTTCCTGATTGATTCTCAAAAAATTTCATGGGTTTATTTGCCTTATAGACATTATCAGTAAAAAGCCAGAGTCATTGTTGTTAAAAAAAGAATTTCATCGTCACAATCTCCTTCATTCTAGCTACTGCATTTTTCTAGGATTTTTTTTAAACAGATATTATGATCTTGATCTTAACTTTGAAAAAATTTGGGCGTCATCAGTCAAAGGTCAAGGTCATTATTACTGATATTGTTAATTGCACCATCACACTACGTGTCATCACTCATACGACTACATTGCTGACAGATATACAAGGAAATTCACATTTTTGACATGCCTTGTAAAAGTTCGAACAGGGAATCATTTTTCAAATGTCAAGGTCATTGTAGCAAAAACAAATCAACCGTCACATTCTGAGTCATCATCATAGCAACTTGCTTGGCTAATTATCATTGGACTTCACAAACATGTTAGCTTTGGACATGAACGTACAGTGGACTTATTCGAGTACGATGGCAATTAGATAACGGTCACTATTACTAATGTTCAATTTCACAATCACACGCCTTTTTATCGATATAGCTGTTGCATTTCTGAACAGATCATCATGGAACTTAACACGAATATTGACGTCATTATGTGCATGTATATATATTTCACAAACGCAGCAGAATTATTCATCACTGAAAAGGAAGTCTTAAACTACAAACTGAAAATGTATAATTTATCAAAGAAGGTAGTTGCTAGAGGAATCAATAAATGTTCTATTATATGTATTCGTAGTTATTTCCTAGAGTTACAAGCCAATAGCGCTTCCTCTCACACTATTTCATATCTGATCAACATATTTTATTGTTTTTTCACGATGCTGTCCGTTTTCTATCTTACATATTTCTGTTGGAAAATAAACTACACTACTTCGTCACTGACACTATGAAGCAGCAGAGCTACACTAAGGACAGCAGGATATAATTGTACCATATTCTTTATTTCAATAACAACAGGAGAATACCGAAGTGTCAACAAAACAATAGCTCGAACTCAACATCTATGAAACTAGGGAAGATTATGAACAAAAGAGAATATGACTAGGTGATCCTGAAGGGTAAGCGTCTACTGTTTAAATCGAAGATATGTCACGTTTACTGAATTACAATTCCTGCATCTTGAACAAAAACTACACATACAATGCACTCGAACGATATAAATAGTATTGAAATTATATAAGCACAACTTAAAACCAGTATGTTTACTAGACTTACACATAGGAGTACAGATGAACCCGAGTTGAGGTAAGTGTTCACAGGAAGAATCCAATGGACAAGAATAATAGTTCGCACAGGACTCATTGAAAACCTAAATAAAACATATGTTCAAAAGTATGCAAACTGCAACAGTTTTTTGGAATCAATACAACAGATGTCTTCTAAATTTGATTGGTGACCTGTCTAACGGTTTTTTCCCGGCCGTTATCTCTGACAATTAATAGTAGGTCGTATTGCACGTCTTAATTTTAATATTTAAATAATTGGGGTATAAGGTACACACTGCAAGAGAACATTTTTAGCGGACACATTCTTTAATGAAATATCAAACCCCTAACATGTTAGCGCATTGATTAATTTGCGCGATTATAATATATACAATAAAGAAACTAAATACAGAAACTTCAATTAGCGCAATCATATATTAGCGCAATCATATATTAGCGTATTGTTTAAAGCTCGAAAAGGTCTTAAATGATAAATAAATATTATGTTAATGTTCAACAAGCCAACTGAAAGGTGTAATAGTCACACTAAATTTCAATCCCCTGTTAAGTCATTTTCAAAGACCCTTATCAAAAATCGGGATATATGTGTGTAATTTGAATATATTGAACGTGTGTATTAGCTATTAAAAAGGTAAATAACCAGGTTAACGCAGTCAAAAATAATGTCTTCATAAAAATACCATATCAGACTTATGACATGCATGTCAATCTCTTTTGGCGACTCAACTGAATGCTTTGGAATGACATCTTAGATAAAGTTTATTTATATACCTACGAGCTTATTTCTCTTTACTAGATGTGGAAAGGCATACCGGCCTCAAATGTTAATGATTGAGGTAAAGGAATGTACAAACATCATAAAAAAATGTCCGAGTAACATATTTTACTGGTATACAGTCGAACCTCGTTATCTCGAACTCTTTTAACTCGAAGACCCCGTTTATCTCGAAGTATCTTTCGGGTCCCGGCCAAATCTGTTCTTTATCTTAGTAAATAAAACTCTGATAATTCGAACCCTGAAAAGTCGAAAAACTCGGATACCTCGAAGTAAAATATTGGTTTCAATAGCGTCAATCCAACGTAGTATCCAAATTTCATTTTGTCACTTGTTAATTCTTTGATACATATAAAACGCAAAAGTACGACATTTCGCCATTCCGTGTTTATGAACATCTTTCGTAAGTAGACTAGCATGAAATCAGTCAAAAAGCATTTACGATAAAGCTTAGAACTGTAAAGTTTACGGACTGTCAAAACCATGTTATTCATAATAAAAAACAAAATGCATCAATGTTGATCAACAGTAATCTGTACTTACTGCGAGTCCGTTTAATGATTTGTACACCTAAACAGACGACAGTGCAAACCGGAAAATTGGTCACAAAGCGTGGTCATGCATAAAAGAGTTCCACAGTTAAAATCACAACATAGGCCACCTTTACGGGTTCAATTTTTTAACAGGAGCCAGTATGGCTTTGAAAGTCGATCGATAGATTTAAGAACAAAACGATAATTGCTGTTGATTGCATCGAGTTGAGGAGTTGTCAGGTGTCATATTTGGCTTTAATGGATCAATGTGTCACATGTACGATATAATTTGTTTGTGTGTTTTCATTTACAGAATCAACTATGCGTACGCTCCATTACAGTGATTTGTTTTAGACTTGCGCACTTTCATTTCCGCATTGTAAACTACGAGATCAGAGACAGCGGGATAGTTCGGTTTGAAATGTAACACTTCAGAAGTAAAACTTGACGGACTTATAAATACAAATGCAGACCTGGAAAGATTTGCCAAGATCTATACTAGCAAAAAACAACATTTAATCACTAGGCCCGTCCATATTTAATAACGAATTCACAAAATGGTCCAACCATTTTGATCGCGTTTAAAAACGAAAGTACGTTTTTCTGAAATAACTTTATCTATTTTTGTAAGCGTGTTTCTTGTAAAATTACATAGCTGTATTTGTTATATTGATTACGTATATCATTTATCGATTGATTAAAAGCATTAACTATTAATAAAACCAACAACTGCTAGTGATAAGTCCCAACAGCAAATTTCATACCAAATCTATGAACCCGTATAACTCGAATACTCGGATAACTCGAAGTTTTCCCACGACCCCGTCGACTTCGAGATAACGAGGTTCGACTGTATATGTGTAAAACCATATACCTATGACCATAAAAACTACGTCAACTTCATATAAATTGTCCTTTCTTACCATTTAATGTTGTTATTAAAAAGCTAGAAATGTTATAAACGTTATCGTATTTTTCAGTTTAAATGTTTATAATATGTCTAGCACATTCAAAACATCACAGAATGTAATCAAATGGCAAATCAACCAAAGTTCATTTATCGATCAAGGTTGCTTAGCCTATGCTTTCTTATTCATAATCTGCTAGAAAATATTACCAGGGGATTTAACTATGATTTTATAGGTTTCGTATGGTAACATCTATCTTGATTTGAGGTCGGAATTTCTTTCACCAAAGTTCATTTTTCGATCAAGATTGCTTAGCCTATGCTTTCTTATTCATAATCTGCTAGAAAATATTACCTGGGGATTTAACTATGATTTTATAGGTTTCGTATGGTAACATCTATCTTGATTTGAGGTCGGAATTTCTTTCACCAGCTAGTAGAAGAGAAATAAAGCGCCGCATGACCTAGGCATATAATTAAGCTTTAAATAATATATCATTTCTTAGCACTCAGTTTGGTCGCAAAGGAGATTGACATGTTATAAGTCTGGTGAAACTATTTTTTATGAAATGTCAGCCTTAATGACTTATTTTCGACTTTGTGTATTTTTTAATAGCAAATAAACAAGTTCAATCTATTGAAATTACATATACAAGTTCCGATTTTTAATCAAGGTCGTCGAATATGACTTATGGCGGGTTGAAATATAGGGTGACTACAGAATATATTAGGAGGCTTGTTAAACCTTAACAGTTTACATAGTGATCAATGAAATATTTGTTTAGAATATCTTTTACACCGTCAATGGTATTATGTCATTTCCAATTATATGTGTGACCTAATATTTTGATCCGAGAATTTTGTCATACGATATATCAATATAATATGAGAATTATGACTAGATATTTCAACACTTTAATGGATATTTTAACACAATATGTGCCTCTATTTACTCATCTAAATACAATCAGGAATTGAACACCCCATTTGAAATATAATCAGGAATTGGGAAGACACCATTATAAATAAGATTAGGAAATGTGGAGAAAATAAAATAAGGCATTTAGGAGACCCATTTACAAATAAAATAAGGCATTTAGGAGACCCATTTACAAATAAAATAAAATCAGGCATTTAGGTGACCCGTTTACAAATAAAATCAGGCATTTAGGAGACCCATTTACAAAGAAAATAAGGCATTTAGGAGACCCATTTACAAATAAAATGAGGCATTTAGGAGACCCATTCGAAAATAAAATAAGGCATTTAGGAGACCCATTTACAAATAAAATAAGGCATTAAGGAGACCCATTCGAAAATAAAATAAGGCATTTAGGAGACCCATTTACAAATAAAATAAGGCATTTAGGAGACCCATTCACAAATAAAATAAGGCATTTAGGAGACCCATTTACAATTAAAATAAGGCATTTGGGAGATCCATTTACAAAAAAAAGGCATGTAGGAGACCCATTCACAAATAAAATAAGGCATTTAGGAGACCCATTCACAAATAAAATAAGGCATTTAGGAGACCCATTCACAAATAAAATAAGGCATATGAACTTCTTTATGTCGTATTTCTAGTGATCATACATGTATATAATTTAACAATATGGATTTGCACTTCGATGTAACTATATGGGCACGAGAGATGAAAAGTAATTATCAAAGTGATACCTTTAACATCATTTAAATAGTCTGTAAATGAAGAAGTTGTCTTTTGTCCAGTGATAAACGTAAAGTATCGTATACGTATACATTACCTTGGATGCATCTTTCTTTTTTACAAGATAGGGACGAGGTAACCAGCCCGCACCTGTCCATGTTGACATTTCGTCATTGTCCACTGGGTACATGAAGCACCTTGAAGATTGGAAGATGACCATTTCACACAGACCGTAGTGAAAACATCTCTGTATACACTGGTACCAAGTCTCCGTCCAAACCATGTAAAAACTCTGGAACTCGTAGTAGGGGCCTCTTTTGAAGACAATATCAACGCTGCCGGTTATCGTTATAAATAGTATGATGGCTGCAAATGCTTGAAACTTCATGTTGTTGTAGCTAACACAACCACTAAGGTTGAAACAAAACAAGAAACAGGCAAATCTACCTATCTAAAATATGTAAAACATTGATCTGGAATCGCATGACAACCGAGAAGACTTCAATCGTCAAGAGCCTTTCACAACAATTCTAGGAACATCTTTCCGCACAGTCCGTCTCACAGAACATAATTTGTAGTCCGTTTGGTATAATAGAAGCAGGAACGATAAGGTAAACGTATCAATATTAGATAACTATTAATGTAGGACAGTTCAGTTCTGCTGGTGTCCCTCCACGTCGCTGTTGGTAACCTTTAAATGATTCTCTGTGTATTGGATATCCAACAACAAATGCTCCGCCTCAACCGATACATATTTGGTAATTTCAAATTCTAGCACCTCTGGAAAATCTCGTAAATACAGAACTCACATAAAATCGATAGCGAAGCGCCAATAACGATAAATATATCACAAACGACCGATAAGGATAATGATTGAAAGAGAATTATGAATATTAATTCTACAGTATGCAGTCATGCAAAAAACTAATGTTTCTAAAATTGTTTAGACAATTACTGGTTTACCGTGAACATGTTATTAAAAAGTAATAAATCTCAGTCTGTCAAATCCTTAACGTCGTCTGTGGTTTATTCAGATGTTATACCATATTCCTCACTTTTGTGCCAGGGTTAACATAACAATGTATGTGTTTGCCAAATATAACAGTGGACATTGAATGTTAAGAACTGTTCAACAACTGCATCACTACAATATAATTATGGTTAATGGTCGCCTCTATACCGCACTATTTGATAAACTGATATTGAAGATATTAAACTTTCCTTTCCTTAGTAATAATATCCAAGTCTCTTCTGCTAATGAACAGTACAGTCACAGTTGATATTACTTGGATTTGACCTCGGTTCAAAGGCGTGTGTCGCCGATGATGGAGAAAGCGCTCATTTTTCTTGTCCTTTTTCAATGGTCTTAATATCAGTGTTCACCTCGTTCAAATCTTGACCTGGTTTTATCGATTGCGGCTTATGGTTATAATGACAAGGTTTTATCGATTTCGACTTATGGTTATAATGACACCATGGTAGTCGCCTTTTGTTATCACGACGGGTTACAATGTTACTGCCAGCGCGTTGAAATGATCGTGGTGATTTCAGTTTAAAGCTTTTCACGGCAGATAAGAACAAGTCACATGGGTGGTCGGTTAGGGCAGTGGATAGCGCACTCGCCTTTCATAAAGGCGACTTAGGTTCGATTCCCCAACGTGAAAAGGTATTGGGTCTCCTGCCGACAACGTCGGTTTTCTAAGGGTAATCCGGTTTACCTCCCACATTAAGACCCCCACGCGCCAACAACAGTGATATATATATAACTTAACGTATTGATGTGATAAATACATAAAGTTAATATATTTATTTAAGAACTGCTAATTTCATACGAATTCTAGTTATAATCATACAGGCCCCTAGTTATATAGCTAATTTCAGACTTCCCGAATAACGTTATTTTCCTGATTGGCGTGAAAATAACACCCGTTATCCGGTATCGAGAATGATCGATATAGATTCTGCGTCTGCTGGATAACCGAACTACTCGTTAGTGAAGCGGACGTAAAATCAATCAAACTAACAATCGATAATTAAACATGCATAGGTTAAGACGACATGAAACATTGTCTTATAAATAATTCTAAAGAGACGTTTTTTATAGATCAGAAGACATTAGTACAGTGTAGGCTGGAGCAGAGTTAACACCGTGTGAAAGTGTCTCACGTAGAACTCGCACGACATAAATAATTAATCACATTTTATCTAAAATTCCATCTTAACATTTTGCCATAATTACCTTTGTTATTCGAGTGACCGGATCCGGGAAGAAAATAATTTAGATGATAATGACTTTTTTTGATCATGAGACAGGAGTTGTTATTAGGGATACACGCGACTGCTTAAAGTTATTTGAATATGAGTATTGTACACTGCAATTGCAGTATGGGTATGTCAGTGAAGGTCAACCTTTGGAGCGTGATACTTGAATGTTTAGTCTCAGAGAAATACAAGCCTTTAGAGCGTGATTCTTGAATGTCTAGTCTCAGAGAAATCCAAGCCTCTTTGCGCGTGATTCTTGAATGTCTAGTCTAAGAAAGAAAAAACAGCCTTTGGGCGTGGTACTTGAATATCTAATCACAGAGAAATCCCAGCTTTTGGGGCGTGGTACTTGAATGTCTAGTCTCAGAGAAATCCCAGCCTTTTTGCGCGTGATTCTTGAATGTCTAGTCTCCGAGAACTCCCAGCTAGTCTCAGATAAATATCAACCCTTGGGGCGTGATACCTGAATGTCTAGTCTCAGGGAAATCCTAGCTAGTCTCAGAGAAATATCAACCCTTGGGGCGTGATTCTTGAATGTCTAGTCTC